CCCCAATCCCCGGTCCATGAACCGGTACCAGGCCGCAGCATGCCAGCAACTGGGCCGCACAAACAAGCAAAACCTCATCCATAGGATGCAGGTAGCACACAAAATCACACTCTCTGGTCTGTGGTGCCCCAAAAGTTGGGGACCTCTGCAGTAGACCACTACTACCTGCTACTTTTCTGCCAGCATTTGTATATGTAAAGTTTCTCCATTCATTTCTTCACCTTTAGTAAACATTTTACCAAGTAGAAAACCTTAACATTATGCTTACCAAATCCATTAGCAAAATGTGAATAGAGAAGGAAATTACAGTAGAGAAGGAAATTGCAGGTAGAAGGCATGTCTTCAGAGAGCCGCATCTAACTACTAGCATCCTATCTTTTACTGTGGATGTTTGCTGAATTAGGTCCTGCATAGCCAAGACTGACTACTTTGGCAATGCTTCAGTTAGACATCACCTTTCTTCCTTTGAAGATGCTGAAAACAAAGCATGGGCAATCTAAACCACTATTATATCTTGGAAGGAGTAGAGATGGACTGTCAAAACCTAATTTTATTATAAGAAAGGAGACAGTTACAGGACTGGAGAAATCTTGGGACAGAATAGTATGGAGGAGAAGGACAATAAATGGTTGGTCTTGTATTGCTTTGAGTAGTATGAAAGGGCAAAAATGATTAATTAGCTAATGTCTATGGAGATTCTCAAGTCATCCAGGTCATGGTAGTCCCAAAGAGACAACTGGACTTTCTTTGATTCTCCTTGAAGACGTTTTGCCTCTTATCCAGGAAGGCAAGAGGCGAAACAGCTTCAAGGGAAAAAAAGTAAGTCCGGTTGCCTCTTGTAAAAGCACCTTTGGGATTAACTAGCTGCATCTGTCAGTAGTTTTGATTCTCATTAAAGATACTAATTATACTCTAATTTCTGGTGTTCCTATTTCCATCTTTATTTTTCTTTGGAATCAATTACTTGCATTTTTAATTACCTGTTGTTTTCTTCTCCTTTATTCCTTAGGTTACACAGGCATATAAGGAACATGACTATGGAAAAGTCATACGATTACTTCAAGCCTTTTGTAGTAAAGATCTCTCCAGTTTTTATTTTAGTATAATTAAGGACAGGTATGTGAACTTTTGTATCCCCTTATCAGATAAGGAAGTCTCAAAAAATGAAAAATGCATGCTCTGTACTGCTTGTCCCCAAGATAAATTCTTCCTGAATATACAGAGTGAGATGGATTATTTTGTTACTAACATAAACAGCTAGTTTCTTCAGCTCACATGTATTTTGATACACATAAATTATTCCAACAGTGTTTAATGTTTAGAAATTGTTTCCCCAATTATTTTCCTTCCTAAAATCCAGACTTTATTGTGAAGAGGAAAAAGATCCTAAACGCCGTTCGTGTCAAACAGCCTTGGCTGCAGTTTTGGATACAGTGGTTCGTTCTTTTGCACCTATCCTTCCACATCTGTCTGAAGAGGTGTTCCAGTATATTCCATACAGAAAAGGTATGAGTTATAAAACGGTTAAGAAAACAGACACTCTGCATCCAGTCTAGATATTCTTCACATAAACCTCATAATGTGTTGAATTCGTTAGTCATATAATTTACACTTGTGTTGTAAAAAATAGAACGATCAATAAGTATTAATTAAATTAATTAAATTAGTCATTAAAATTCTTAGCTGTAGCATGAAATCTGCATGTACACATTTTTAAAAAGAATTTATATGAAATGATGTCTGACAGCTCAGTGTTGAAGCAATCCTTTCCACTATCGTAATAAGGGACAAGATACTCCCTTGTGCTTCCCTTCTAGTCACACTACTACTTTAATAAAGTAATTGTCCATGCAGTTACTTATTGTTAGCTTTATATAGTACAATGCTGTAACTATTACAGAGCTATCTAATGCATTTGTTTTCCCCACCCTTCTCTTTTGCAAGAGTCAGATAGCGTGTTTCGTTCCGGATGGATGACCACAAGTGCTGTCTGGAAGAAGCCAGGCTTGAAAGAAGCAGTGGATGGAGCATGCACAATGAGAGATGATTTCCTTGGCTTTATTGCAGGCAAAAATGCTGCAGAATATCAGGTGATTCTGGTGATTGAGCCTGGGCTGTTCTTTGAATTAATGGAGGTAAGCAGAAAAATCATAACCTAATATTACATCGTAACTAGTAGTTTAATTTTGAAATGTTTAAGAAAACAAAAGCCATTTATAAAAGCCTTAATTCAGAAAGACTTGGAATATAAAGGGATATTCAAAGTTAATTGCAGGTAAACCCTTGACTTATGACCACAATTGGGATCAGAACTTCTGTCACTAACTGATGCTGCCCAATTTTATGTCTTTTTTTACTGGGGCCGCCTTCCCCCATCGACTTTGCTGGTTGGCTTTGCTGGGAAGGTCCCAAATGATAATTGTGCAATCCCAGAATACTGCAAGCATCATAAATACAAGCAGGTTGCCAAGTGCCTAAATTTTGATCATGTGACCATTGAGACATTGTGCTGGTGGTAAGTGCAAGGATTGGTTCAAAGTCACTTTTAGCACTACAGTAACTGAATGGTCATTAAAGAATGGTCATAAGTTGAAAACTACCTGTAATGGTCTGACTCAGAGATAGAAACCTTCATTTATCAGATTCATTTGTCAGATTTTGATAAGCAAGATATAGAATTCAAAGACAAGATGTAGAATAATTTTATTTGCTCAATTTCAACCCTATGATTCTATGATCTTGAGTTCAAAAGTTTTTGGTTTTCTTGCCCCAGAGACCTCCTTTGACTTCCATTGTTTTTTTTGCTGGCTTTTCTACTTTTAGGGGACAGGATATGCAGTTCAGTAATCTTCAACTTTGGACTCTTATTGTTTGTAACCACGATTTCCTCCACTACATTTTTATTTGATGCTTTTAGTTTATTGAAATAGAGGCAAAGTATTTGAGGATTCAGATAACCCTGTGTTTGTAAAATGACTGTGTATTGGGACTGTAGAGCCCTAGTCTAGTGTATATCTACAATTACAGACCAACATGATGTAGTTATATCATGTCTTGGAGTTCTTGAATTGTAAATAAGGGTATACCATCACCATAAATTAAAATTATAATAAAGTCCTCTGCGTACATCCAATATCATAGTATTAAGCTTGAATTTAACGTTCAGTGTTCAGTCGGAGGAAGCCATAGTAGACTTAAGTTGGCATGTATTGCTACCAAATCACATTATGGCTCAAGTATGGTAAACCAGTCCTAGCTTATTATCTTAATGAGAACTGTCATAGACTTGTTTGCATCTGTACCCTTTTCAAAAACTAGTCAGCATGGTAACTTATCATTAGGTGCTGCAACCTGAGGAGTGCTCTAGTACATCTCAGTTAAATGAAATCATGATGGCATCACAGACAATGCTGCTGACTGAAGTACCTAGAGATGTGAATACTGACGATATGATTAAAGGCACATTTCTGATAAACTTAGAAGGTAAGTAGACTTTTGTTACACATCCACATATTGAAAGTGTTTGGGCCATGTGATGATAGAACTATAGGAGGACTTCCCTTGATTTAGAGATAAGTCAGCGAAAAAAGGGCTTTAATGCGGGATTAATTTGAATCTCTTCTGAAATAGGTGGCGATATCCGAGAGGAGTCTGCCTATAAAGTCATTGTTCTACCAGCTGCCAAATCAAAGTGCCCTCGTTGTCGAAAATACACTGCTGATTCAGCAGAGACTCCATGTGCACGCTGTATGCAAATACTTGGTGAGAAATGATGCCTGTTCTCATAGCGGTCAAATAGTCGGGCCTGCTAAAGCAAGATTCATATTTTGTGAAAACCTGGAATATAGAAGTATCTACACAGAAACCAACATGTTGTTTCTCCGAGAGCTGGAAAGCTAACTTTAAAATTCACGTGTATATATTTAAGCTTAGTACACTTAATAAACTGCTTACTACAATGCCTGACAGTCTTTTTCTTTCTAAGTCTGAAAAGTGGCACAGGAGGAATTCAGATCCATGAATAAGCTGGCTTTTTTAGTTCGGTTGACTTTAGACTTTAGCACTTAGTGGTGCAGCTTTATTGCAGTTCATGGACCTGCATGAACCTTTTTTCTATAGTTACTTCCAACACAATCAACCCCTCCCCCCTTCCCCACGCAGATCACGTATCAATAAGAAAAAAGTATGTGGAACTTTCATCCTGGTCTAGATTTCTCAATCATAATTAAGAAATTACTTTCTTAAGTAACTGTTTGCAACTGTATAGTGATAGGTATGGGTGGATGGCTCTTCCTTTAGTTTTGAAAATTGTAGCAGCCTTTTAATGAGAAACTCATCTGATCCAGTTGTCAACAATTTTCTACAGAACAGGTGAGAGTTCAGTATTCAATTAATTACTCACTGTGATTGCTAACATTTTAAAAATGATACACTTTTTTACAAAGTCTCCACTCACCCTTTACAACAGACAAATGGAAGGATTTTCATAAGTTTGGTTCTATCTCCCAGTCCCATTGAATTTCAAACAACTCAGTTACAATAACTGAAGGACTACTATAGCCTCTTTTTTTTTTCAGACCAAAGCTACCCAGTTGCTTCAACTATTCTATGCTAACTTCAGCACTCCCTCGACCAAGGCTTTTCAAACTTGGCAACTTTAGATACACAGACTTCAACTCCCAGAGTTCCCCATCCAGCATGCTGGTTAGGGATTTTAAGTTAAGCCATATTTCTTAAAATCAGTCCAATTTCTCAGTGTTAACAGTGTCAGATATTGGAATAGTTGTGGGGCAAATATAAAATTCAACATAGGGAAGACATTTGACTATACCAAATTACAGTAAGCTGTATTGCAGGGGTATTCAAACTTGGCCCTTTTATGACTTTTGAACATTGCTGGCTGAGGAATTCTGGGAGTTGAAATAAAAGGGCCAAGTTTGAAGACCCCTGCTGTACAGCAAGGAAAGTTGTTACAAATGAGACCAATGCTTTTACAGAAGTGATAAACTAAAACTAGATTCCAGATTTTAATTGATACTTAAAACATGAAGAGGCAGCATCTTTCTTTTTGTTCTACAATGATATTTTTTCCCACTGGACGACTTGCTCTTCATAAGTTGATACTGTTTTTATAGTGAAAATTCAGCCATAATGTAATTGTAGAAAGTCATCCTTCAATGCTGTAACTTAGTGGCTAATTGCCTCTTGATTAAATGTAATTAGGCTATCACTTTGAAGAAGTATTACCTAACCAGCATACATAATATGTAAGAGCTCTGATTTCTTGGCTTCTGATTGAATTCATCTTGCTTTAACATTTAAAAAGCAGTCTATTTTCTACCACACAGGAAATTCTTAACATGTTAATTTGAACAGCGCTAAATTGTTCTTAAGCAAACTATTACACAAATGCTTGGTATTAGAAATAAATATTTAGAGTTATACACAAATATACACACTGTTGGTATTATCCACCAAAGGTAGATCTTCACATCTATTTATCATCTCCTAAACTCTTGAGCTGTTAGATTACCAAAGATGCTTGAGACTGTTTCATCAAGATGATTCTGGTTCTTATATACAATCTTCACTTTTATTAGAGACCTTTCTAGTCACCGTGCTTCAGTTTTAGTCTTGTTGTCATGACATTCCTTCCACAGCTTCAATTAGATGCAAAGCAACACTGTACTGCCCATGGTTTTCTGGTAGGTGTTCTATCACTTTATTTACTAATTTAGCAGTTGTGGTAATTGGCACTTCTACATTTTTAACATCTTGTGGATCCTGCAGAGAGAATTGAGACAATCTTTAGACTTCTCTACTAGAAACAGACATGTCAAATAATTTCTAAAACCCAACTGATAGATTTAAGAGAATCTCTATTCATGATTAGGAACAGCCCTGTAAACTAGTTTTATGAATTCAGTGAGGAATATTGCAGATAACCACTGCTGTAGCTTTAGGATCATTTCCAAGAATTTTCAGCCCTGCCACAGCCATTCTTAGAAGATAAAAGATGAATGACTGCAGGCTTCATGCTTTATGTGGAAGTGTGATCAGCTAAGACAGGGAAACTATAGTTATGGAACACAACCTCACCAGTTTACTTCTGGAGTTAATTCTGAGATTATAGGAAAAACCATCTCAAAAAAGACTGCCCACCCTACCCTTAGATTAACTGTATATATGTCATCAATTCTTATCTCTTTTGTGCAGTGCACTGAAGTGAAATAAAGCCCCTCTTCCAACTGCTATAGGTATCATTTAGACTCAATATGAAGATGTCTGTGTGCATTGTTCAATACATTTGTACAATAACATAGATTAAATGAACTAAGCCATCTCCATCCTTTGCACCATCCTTGTTCCAAAAAAATATGCCAAATGTTGAGCGTACTTTGTATACTGTATAAACAACTCATTAAATTCTCAGAAATAAATTACACACTCTCTCTTATGCTTCCATAGCAAAGTTCATATTCCACTTCATATAGACTGTTAATATTTAAGCAGAGCATGCTATTAGGGAAATACTGGTGTAATTGTTGTGTTGGTTCCTATATTGTCCATCTAGGTTAGCATGCTGACCCTGCTTTCCTGCTGCTGAGCAACATATATTACTCTATTTTCATTTTCATGTAAGAAATCTTTTCCCATCAATTTCATTTTTTTGTGTGTGTACAGCACTAATAAACAAAAGTACTTATCAATTTCTTAGATTTAAGGTTTTCTGAATACACTGATTCTTATGGTGCAATATGTTTAAGAGGCAGTGGATCTTACCATAGCTTTAAGCCAAGTGCAAAGTGTTGGAGGTAGTCTGGCCAACAGCTCCATGCCTTCTTTTGTTTGAGTGTGCAGTAAGGCATAGGCCAGCCTCTGTCCAGCCAGCACCAACAATTGTGATGCAAGCACTTCTTTGTCCTCTACCTGAAGAATAGCCTGCATATACAAGACATTAACTATGTCAGCTGTTATTCTTGCAACACAACAATACTTGTTTTCAAAAAAAAACTTTTGAAAAGAATCCACTAACAAATGGAGGTACATGCAGGTCAGTCCAAGAAGGCACCTCCCGATTAAGCTACTTTTAGTTTTAAAAGGTACTCTGTCAAATGTTAAAGTATTACAGACCTGTTTGTTCGCCAAAATTTAATACTAAAATGTTCAACTGTAAAAATTCTTAAAGCCAACATGCAGAGGTAGCCATGTTTAAAAAGGATAACACATAACTCTTTCAATCCCTGCAATACTTACTCATTGCAAAGCTTCACTCCATTGTATAATACTGTACTGGCAAATCAAAAATGGGGTGCATGGGGAAAAGGGGGTGAAGGTCACGTGTGATTGGTTGTATTTGTGAATATGTGCATAAATATCACATACTAAAAAAATCCCTATGTATATATGGCATGAAAGAAGCACAACTACACAAACATAAAAAGCTTTCTTGATCTACAAACATTTACATGCATAAGAAAGTGCAATTAGTACCAAATTTGGAAATACACAAATTTGGAGATTTCAAATGTCTCATAAATAAGCTCTCTTAGCTTCAGTGTGGCTAGTTTCTGAACAAATGCCCGAGAAGAGCTCACAATTTTTTTCTTTTCCTGTTAATAAAAACCTAGACTTAATTCTTACTCTCCTTCCCATTTTCTGCTACAAGGCACGAAGATTGGAGGGCAGAGTCCTGAGGACACAGGTGCACTTCTCTTTTCTGTGCAGTATGTAAGAGGGCATGTTTTCTAGATGGCACATCAGATGAATCCCCATAATGCTTTTTTCATGAGGCAACTGGACTTTCTTCTTTTTCTTTAAAGACATTTCGCTTCTCATCCAAGAAGCTTCTTCAGCTCGTGACTGGGTGGTGGGGAATGGAACAATTTTTATACTCCTTACAGACAGCTGGTCATTTGCATTCTTTTAGAGAGTCATTGAGGCCACCTGGAGGTTTATCTGTGTCATCAGGGTCACCTGAGTAGTGCAAATGGGTGTGGAGCCTTCTTGGAACTGTTGGAAGGACTGTGTTGTAGACTGGAGATAGATGATGTCATATCCCAGATAAATGCATGCAAAAACATCGGTGTCAATGCCAGAAGTTTATTTTAGTGACAGGAGAAATTCCTCACCCCTATTAGCTGCTTACCTGCACCAGAACCCACTGGATCATGGGTGTTAAAATCAGAATTATACCTAACAATGTTGCAATGTATGTCTGTGAAAGTTGGACCATAAGAAAGGCTGAACGCCAAAGAATTAAGGCCTTTGAACTATAGTGCTAGAGAAGACTCCTGCGAGTCTTGGACTGCAAGGCGCTCAAACGGGTCAGTCCTAGAGGAGATCAACCCCAACTGCTCCTTAGAAGGCCAGATCCTGAAGTTGAAACTCAAATACTTTGGCCACCTAATGAGAAGGAAGGACTCACTGGAGAAGAACCTAATGCTGGGAAAGATTGAGGGCAATAGAAGAAAGGGACGACAGAGAATGAGGTGGCTGGATGGAGTCACTGAAGCTGTAGGCATGAGCTTAAATGGACTCCAGAAGATGGTAGAGGACAGGAAGACCTGGAGGAACATTGTCGGTGGGGTTGCAATGGGTCAGACACGACTTTGCAACTAACAACAACAAATGTTGCCTGGACATTTTCTAGGATAGTACTCTATAGTAGTACAGCTTTTCACACAACTGAATAGGTTTCTAGTAGTATAGGTTCCATATAGTCTTCAGAGGTAAATGGGTGTAGACTATAGTTACTCCTGCTCCCCAACTCACACCCATATAAAAGATGCTGCACTGGAGGAAAAACACATGAACAGTAGTATAGACTCGAGCGATGGATCCTGATTGACCAGAATTTCATCTAAATTTGGAAGAATGGGGGTGACGACCATGGCAGTGAATTTGGGAAATGTTCTCTCCCTGAAATAAGACACGGTATTTTAACATCGTAATGGTTGTTTTCTACTGTCTCCATAATCACGCAGAATAAACTTTTAATCTGCTAAAGTGCACAGAAACAGCCTCAGTTTATCCTTTCTCAAGATATGATTCTGCAAGCTTTTTTAATCAAAGGTATTCAAAATGCATCTTTGCATTTGCAGAAATAAAAACCAACCCAGGATTTGAGAGCAATGTACATGAGTTTCACCAATAAACAAGACAAAACTGTACAACCTTATGTCTGCTGCTGCCCTCAACAGGCAGAAATTCATGCCTGCTGTACTATGTGTACCTCTTCTCCAAGATGATCCAGGCCATAACTATAGAGCTCACACACATAGTGCCGTCTGATTATATCCTCATCAATTTGAAGATGATGTGCCAGATCCAAAGCCAAGGCAGGCCAATCCCTGTCCTTCAGCAACACTGCAACTTCTTCTTCCGGTCTGTCTGTCGTCTTAGATGGAGCTTGGGCCTGGGCCAATGCACTGACTAGTTTGGTTAAGAACTTGCAAAGAAAAGAAAACCTCCATATCAGTAGCAATTTGTAAAAAGTACACATATGCTTGTTCATCTCCTAACCAGATATAACTTACTTGATGGCGTAAACTAAGCAGAGTAGGATCCACTTCTCCACTAGGCAACAATTGAATTGAAGTCAAATCTTTGAAAAAAGCATTTTTACCCTGCAAGAATAGAAGACAGAGGGATTTTGGAACCAAGATAAGAAAGTTACACTTGCTTAATGTAAGTATACAATATGCAAAAGTTGTGAGAAAATGGACAGCTTCCAAGATCAACTCAGCATTAATTTCTGCTTGGAATTTATAAAGTGGATTAACCTTGATTCCTATGTAGGTGGATGAAACACAAAATCTAACTCAATAGAACTGCCCAAAAAACTTCCAGCAACTTGTAGAGTTTTCTGTTCCAACCACAGCTTCTCATTCAATGTCCTGCATGAGTTTAAACTTTGGCCTTAGAGATACATCGTACATTCAATTAACTTGGATCCCTCCTTCCAGAGGCAGCAGCTTTCAACAAAGTGTCATGTCCAAATACCTTGCTATCAAAGAGAGAGAGGGGCTTCACGTTCTTCAGGGAGAACTTCATGGCTCCATACAAGACTATGCAGAGCACAGACTGGTGCTCAACTAGAGGATAATGGATGTGTTTCTGTTCAAGTGCTAACTCCACTAATGAGCTTAGCCCTTCAACAGACACCCAGGCATCTTCTGTGTCCAGCACAGGAAGTAGCATTTCATCACAGCATATATCAGCCTGATGAAGTAAGAAGAGAAAAGCATTGTTATTTTAAAAGTAATTGAACAATAGTCACACACTGATCACGTTCAAAGAAACCCAGAGGTGAGTTGGAAAAGGAGAATTATCAGTAGGACCAGTGGAAATAATAGCATCAAGAAATCTTACTTGAAAAATCAGAAAAATTGCACAACTAAAAATGAAAACATTTATTCAAGTGGAATGTGGCTAAAAATTTACATTCTATTACTATCTTCTGATTTATAGGAATCTTTGGCAACAGTCCTCACATAGGTTTAAATGTACAGAACTATTGATATTACTCTGAAAGTGTTCAGACTGATGAGGGATGATGAATTAGAAATAATGTGCAGTTTAGGTTGAGGAAGGAGCTGTTACCTCCATGAGAGTCTGAAGAAGATCTGAGCAAGATCCAAGGAAACAGGACACTGCGTTGTCACTCATCCCTACATCCTGTTTGAACAAAGAGGAAATTGTTTGTAAACAAAAAACAAAAAACTTTTCTTGAATATGTTTCAAAATATTTGTAGCTGGAAGAGGCTCTATTTGTAGCAAATCCCAGAAATCAACTATACATTGAATGCAAAAAGACGTATATTTCAACAGTAAAAAAAATGAGTCACGCAAGCCTCAGTATTCAATGCATAAAATATTTTTTTTAAATTTATAAAGTTCTTTGATACATCAATAGTTAAGTCAAATTTATATTTAAATAAATTGAAAATTACTAGGTACATTTATCTGTCTCCAATAAATTTTCAGTAGCATATGTTATTGGCAAGATGAAATCATAACTAAAAAATTAATCTCGTGTATTTATAAAGGCTGGCCATGTGAGAATAATGAAAATTGTTTAGGATTTAAATGGGGGTGGGGAGGTATATTAGCTGGCAGCAAATACCTATCTAAAAGGATTTTTAAAGGGTTGCAAAATATCCATATTAAAATACGGGTTCTCTGAAAAGGCCCTAATCTGAATGTTTCCACACCTTTTTAAATTTTCAAAAATTTAAAAAGATGCAGACACACAGGCATATAATATATAGTTTGTGGGCTTTCAATCATAGTTGTCTCTTTAGGAGAAAGATGTCGAACCAATTCAGCACAGGGTTGCTCAGGCCCTTTCCTAGTTTGTTCTTCCAGTTGGACTTTAAAAGAAACCTGAGCAACTGACATCAGCATCATTTCTAATACAACAGAAGTGGATAATGGATATGGAGCTTACTTTGTCAGAAACTCAGCCAAATCTTCTGATTGAGAAAAATACAAGATAACTGGGCCAGCAAATGCACTTGTTTGTACGTAGTAATAAATTCTTAAATGGGCGGCTGATTGAGCTAGATGGTTTCAAAGATTCCTTCCAATCTTAATATTTAGTGAAAAAGTTTTTGTTTTTAACTTTCTAGAGAAACAAATGAAAGCTCCTCATTCAAACCTAAATATCAGAACTACCTTATTCTTGTAAAAACATGGTTAAGACGGAGGAGAAAAAATGAATGGATCAGTGCAAATCTGCTCGAAGTCATGTTTGCTTCATGGAAAGTTGTCATAATCTTAAACATGATCTTAGATTAAAAACCTAAAATAATAGGTGTCCTTTTGGGCTGGGCTCAGAGAAAGGTGAGCCAAATAAAATGATTAAATAGCTGGAAGCCAAGACTATGACCTTAGCTTAAGTTGGCAGAAATCCCCAATTTCTGGTTAACACAGATGTCATCCAATCTTGTATTAGGATAATACATATTTTAAATAAAGAAAAAGGATTACTTGCCCGTCTGCATAATCTGTCCTTTGGTGCTTTTCCAACCTATGACAGAAATGTGTTTAGTGCAGGACTCAATACATTAATATACTCCATCTCTACAAATAGATAAGTTGCCACCTCTTTTCACCACAAATAACATTTTTTATTTAAAAAAAAAAACCTCATAAAAAGAGAAAAGGCACTGGTTTCCTGCCCTATTCCCCCTGCCCACTTCCCATACGTTTATGTGTATGTGTGAAATAACATATCTTTTAAATTATGACTAGTAGCTAAGTCATAGTGCTTTGCCTCAGAACTAATTATTTCAAACTTTTAATTAACTAATTAGTAAATCAATCTAGCTAGACTAATCTTAGTGATCAAGTGATGGGGGAAAAACAGAGTTCACTGATGAACTTCAACAGCAGTAAGAGACAAGATGTTAAAAGTCACTGAGAAACTCGGTTTGAAGAGATAATGTGTTCAGTGATTATTTTTTTCTTCGTAGAATTCCCCCACGAGTGCAGGATCCACTTTTGGGGGGGGGGGATCAACTGAATTTTGATCCATTGGTTGCAAAAGGAATTGACTGACTGGCTTGTCACCAAGCCAAATACCATGGGCTGAGAGAGAATGAGTGGCCCACAGCGACCTAGTTGCCTTTCATGGCTAAGGCAGACTAGAATTCACAGTCTTATTTCTAGCCTTAAGCATTCTCCTGAATTGCTGATCCTAAAAGCTGCTGACTGCCTACTGACAGGAGTAGGTCTGTAATTGAGGGTGGACTGCATGACTATCATGTGAATCCAGAAAAAGATTTAGCTTGTTGAAGTAAGTGTTGACAGATATAGCAAGCATGCCCACATCTCTTCTGTAGTATGTATTACTTTTCCTAATGGCTTTCAGTTCACAAGAACCAATAGTTCTACTTTCTAATGTTTTGGTCAGACACCACCTTGTACGTTCTGTGTTGTTTTGCACCCCACATATGGTAATAATATTCAAGTATCTGAATGCAATTCACAAAGAACGTCAAGCTCTTTTTTCCAGAATGCCAACTATGAGATAATGGAATTAAATTAAAAGAAGGCAGATGTCAATTGAGTATCAGAAAAACAATTCAGTAACAGTAAACAGTGTTTAATAGTGGAACCAAATTGCCCTCAGAAGTAATTAGCTCCTCTTCATTGAGTAGGCAGAAGTAGAAGCCTCATAGCTTCTACCAGAATGGTATAACTTAGATTCAGTCATAAGAAAGGTTTGAATTTAGTGACCTAAAAGTCTAAGCCCATAGAGCTAACCAAGTTTCATTTGCTGAAAGGCAGCCCTTGTACCAGTATGAAAGTGATATTAGATATTCTATTTAACTTGTTTTTGTAACACAATGCAATAAGTACCTTGTCCATTAAGTAGGTAGCAGCAGAAAGCCTTTTCACTATGAATGTGTTCCACATCATTAGAGCAATTCCTGAAATAGTTACACAAATTTAGGTCTGGCTGAAAGCAGTATCAATGATTTTGCCAGGTGAACTCATAGACAGCATATTTTAAAAAATACTACTAATAAATATTTATACAGTTTACTTATATATAAATACCAAGCAGTTTCATTAACAATGTAACAGTAATTGATTAAGACTCGTACTAACAGTTTCAGCTTATGAAAGCCAACATAAAAATATGTGCTTTTAAAGAACACTGAAAAATCTAAAGTGTCTGGACCTGATGTACAGTTAAGAGTATGTCCTTCCACAGAATCAGTTCACCACAGAGGTCTACCTGCAAATGGCCATTAAGCGATAACCTGAAAATCATGGTTAAAGATCCATGAGGGAGGTAGGGAGCCGAGTATCAATACTTTCATTAAATGTGTAGGAATTTTGATTTGTGAGAGGTTCAGCTTTTCTCATATTTCCTGTATTTGCAAGTAGCAATGTGTTACCTTTAGAGATCTACAAATTATTTATAAATTAATAAGCAGTACTAATATAATGGGGCACTGACAAACATGACCTACAATGTTTATTGTGAACCAAGTCCAGCTTTGACACTGACTTGAGAATACTTCAATACTTCCAAGCTGTTTTAATTTGCAGATAAAATGACAGCTGTGGACCCCTCAACACATAGATAATTCTGAATCAAATTCTCTACTTCACATTGACACATCCAAAATACTTTCTTTATTCTTACCATGTTGAATATGAGCATTATCAATGCATCTGAGATGTTCTATGGATCTTATGAGGAAATATGCTTCCTTGGATTAGAAGAACAGAAAAAACCAATATTACTCAATTCAATGAAGCACATAAACAATAATCTTCCCAACTACTTATTAAGTATTTTAATTTATTTCAGATTTTGTTATAAGAATATTTTCTGCATACAAATCTTTATGACCAGATAGTGTAGGCCAGTGGTTCTCAACCTGTGGGTCGGGACCCCATTTGGGGTCAAACGACCATTTCACGGAGGTCGCCAAACGCAGTCCACCATTTTTTCCCCCTTTTCCGTAGCTGTGCTACTCCCTTTTATTCTATTGGCTTTTGAAAGCCAATAGAATAGACTCTCTTGAATAGAGTCTATTTCTATTGGCTTTCAAAAGCCAATAGGAATTGTCCAGGCTGTCTCTGCCCTGCTGAGCCCGCCAAAAGTCCCATTCTGCAAACGGTGCTGCACCAGTTCAGTAGTCCTCGACTTACGACCGGTTGAGTAGTCCTCGACTTACGACCGGTTTGGGGTCGCGGCATTAAAAAGGTTGAGAACCACTGGTGTAGGCCATGACACACACAAATGCTATCTATTCACAGAAACAAATAAAAAAACCTAAGGTTCTGTAATTTTTTTTCAGCTTTGTTCAAAAGTTATTCAGGCAGAAATAACCGCAGCTGAATTCGCTCTTCTCAAAGTTTGAAGGAAAAGTTATAATAACCATAAAGCAGCATATAATGCGACATATCTTATAAATAATTTCTAAATATTCTGATATATTATTTAAGGTTATTTGATATATTTCTACATCTATTTTAATTATCATACCTGGCAAATTACAGCAAAGTTGTAACATGATAAAGTACAAATTGTATAGTTGACATATAACCTTTCATTGAAATAGTTTCTGTATAAATACAAAGTGTCCTTTGTTTCAATCTTTACAACTGTGACAGCTCAATATAGTAGTGCTAACTTGGGAAGGGTATTTATATAATATCACATCTAATAAATTATGGCAATATCAATGTGCAAAATGTGCCTTATCACTGTGAAACAAAGAGGATACGATACCCACATACCAAAATAAAATTATTATACAATCATAAGGCTGAATGGGAACTTGGAGGTCTTCTAGTCCAATCCCTACCCAAGGCAGGAGCCCTTATACCATCCCACAGAAATGGTTGTCCAATCTTTTCTTGAAAACTTCTAGCAATGGAGCATCCATAACTCCAGGAGGCACTGACAGAAAATTCTCCCTTAATTTCAGTTTGAATCTCCCTCTGATAAGATTCCACCCACTGCTTCTTGTCCTGCCCTCAGATGCTATGGAGAATAAATCAATCCTCTCTTCCTTATGATGGTCCTTCCACTATTGGAAGATGGCTATCATGTCACCTCGTAAGTTTTTTCTTCATTAGGCTAAATATACCTAGTTCCCTTAACTATTCATCATAGGACTTAGCCTTCAGACCCTTTATTATATTTGCTGCTCTTCTCTGCACTCTTGCTAGTGCTTCACATCTTTTTTGTATCATGGCAAAAAGAACTGGATGCAATATTCCAAGTATGGCCTCACTAGTACATGCAGACCAGTCCTATCACTTCCTGTGATCTTGATGCTATCCTTCTGTTGATGCAGCCTAAAAAACTGCATTGGCTCTTTTGGCACTTTTAAAACAAATTTTTAGCCTACCTATTTTCTACCTACAGAGCCTGAATAAGAAGTAATGAATTATTTTATTATCTGAAAATGTCAGGTAAGATCATGTGTATCATAAAAAGCACAAGGAGTAAGGAAATGAAAGGCTTCCTTTACCTCTGGGTCTTTGTTCCACTGTACAACATACTCCCAGCAGGAATGTGCATGGAGTACATCCATCTCCAGGCTGCAAGGAAACTGTTCATATGCTAAACGGAGTAGTTCTGGGAACAAGTTTCAAAGAAGGATGAATATTATTTTGCATTCCATTGCTGCAATAAACAGAAATAAAGAGCATGCCTGAAGGCATTTTTTACCTAATATGGACTTTATGCTTGGCTGGTCTTCTTCATCCCCACCTACAAAATTGCTGTCAGTCTGCTGTGGTTCCTCCTTGCTTTCTGCTTCATTTTTCTGTCGACCTAATCTGAGTAAGGACAAACTGAGGTCTTGCTTAAAAATCCATTTGGCTACACTGTCAGCAATGCCTCCTAAAGAAAAATCGAAACAGTCTAGGATCAGTTGCAAATACCCAGAAAACAATGGTTATTTCTTTCTATTGTAACCTTAAACTATGGAATTTGCTGCCATTGGATATAGTAATGCACAAATAGGCAGACAAGACTAGACACATTCATGGAGCGCTTAGTTCCCATTGGCTACTACATTAGGGATTTCCTTTTATCTATGAACAGCTAAAATGTTTATAAATATAGAGGCCTTATGACTGTACTACTTCCTAACTTATAAGTGACTTGCATTAAAATACTATATTTTAATGTGGACTCTTTAAATAGTTGATCAACATCTTGTCCATATTTGTCCCTCTAGGAGTGTGGATTGCTTTTCTGTGCATATGTTTGAAGGACAGTGCCTGGGGGTTCAGCATAGTCAGGGAATGCTGGTAGCCTTCTGAACTTCCCCTGCTTCTTTTCTACCTCTCATGCTAACCGACCCTTCTCAGACTAGCTGGCCCTACAGGTTTTGAGAAGACTATAAACCTGTATCAAGATTATACCTTTCAAACCTGGGAGTTCTTATACGAAAACGATACCAGATTCCAGTTCATGATGGAAGAAGTAAAACTGGAATGAACTGGACAGCTCGGGGTGGGGAAGAGGAGTCATCCTACACAGACCAAGCTTCATGTACCAATGTGGCAATTAGGTGGGCTATTTATTTGTTTGTCTGTTTATTATTCTATGTGCATAGCCATTTCTAATTCTATGTATTATGGAATTTGGACTTTATTAAGGATAAAATGGTTGAATCCAGCTCCGATTGTTCACAAACAAAACTATTCATGTCATGAAACTATCCCCAAGTGGATGTCACTGGAAATACACTGACTGTATTTCTCAGTCCCCTCTCTTTTCTGCAATTTCCTATTCCATTTCACACATTACTCTGGGGATTTTCTTGGGCTGAGTCCCAAGTAGCTACCTCGGGAGAAGAAATTAATGAAAACTGCCACCCCTTTGTAGCCCAACCCTTTGGGGGGGGGGGAATCACCTTTTCCTCCTTCAAGCAACTTCTTTACAGAAAGTCTCCCGAGGGGCTCAGCCTGCAAAGAAGAAGCTGGGCTTGTCTTCTTGCTCACTTTACTATTCAGAAGTGTCTGAAGTATGAGGCAATCCTCTAGCTGTTTCAGGAGAAGCTTCCAGTATTCTATATCAAGAGAGAGGGCTTCCCAGGATTCTGTATCAGCACCTACAGTTATTTGGGGAAACTAATAAAAAATTGGCTTGTCAACTTCTCATATTATCAAGCTGACATTTTACATATTGTGCGCAGAAAGTCCAGATTTACAAATTTCAAAGATGGAAGAAGAAAACAAATTACAGCTTTCTGACATATGTTCAGCACATGCTGTATGTATTCTATTCATACTTGCTATTTTTAAGAAGGTTCCCTTAGAGATGAAAAATAGCAAGAGATGCACCTTCAATAAATACACAATAAGATGTTTACACATTTCATATTAAATTGCCAGAAGTTTAAACTGAAGATAGAAAGAAGAAGGCAATGCTGCTCTGCTTAATCTAATAATATAAAGGGCAAAGGGGGAGACCTACATCCCTTCATCTCCTTGGAGAAAGGTCATGATAATATAAATATGTGTATTATTATCTGTGTTCACAGAAGGGCTAAGACACAGCATGAGCAAATTCAAAAACAGTCAATTTTTGTTTTGTAAGAAATAACATTTTTATTTTGTTTATATTACACTTTTCTAGCAATACTGATGCTTAATGTGCTTTTTTAACAATAATAAACTATAAAGCAATTGTAACTTAAAAACGTAAACAAATGAATCAGGGCAAGATAAAAGATGTCAGCACTGAGCCAGTTAAAATTTTCTTCTAAAAACAAACCAGGAGATGCCAAAATTTTGTTGGCATCTGCTAGTGTGAGAATTGCAGAACCCCTAGCCTCTTTGAACAGCAAGTGCAAAGGCCTGGAAGTAGCTGTATAGAATTTAGTATAGCCATTTCATAGTATTCATAATGGGTAAGTAGCATATGAAATTCCTTTGCATGCAGTATTGCCTGTATAAATAATGAGACCTCACTTGTACATTTTTCGAGATACTTTATAATTGGATGTTTAGCAGCAAGTATTAAGAGTTGATTGTTTATTTTTTGGGGGGGAGAGCCATTTTTTGCTATGTAGGCAAGGACAGAATCTGAAGTTACCTACCTTTTTTTCTGCAACGCTATCACTTATCTGCGCTGTTACTGAATGCCCAACATGCGCAAATACCAAAGCAGCGCCGTTATTCTCAGACTGAATACAGGCTGTTCTCATCTGCTGCCACCAGGGAGAAACGGACTGAGAATCCCATGAAACCTCTATAGCAACCAGAATTAAAAACATGCATATGGGATGTCAACAACAATTTAAAAAATACATTTACTATAGAAAGGGAAACTTGTTTACTGAGAGACTAAGAGAAACTATGAAAAACAAAGGGTTGGCCAAGGATATCTGTACATTTGGAGAGTATTTGCAAAGTCTGTCAGCTGAACATGTTGCAGAGAGTATGGAAGATGACCTTGATGGAGATTTACTGGATCTATTAACAAAGTGAAAGGGTGACAAGAGAGGAGAGGAGATACCGCATATCAAGCTTGCAAGATTGATTTCAGCTACACAGGAAGGCTAAAACTACATTTATTGAGAGTGGCTATAATACCAGAATCTTACAAGTCCGATCATGCTATACCTCTTCCCCCTTTTTATAACCTTGTGAATTAGGGAGGTCGCTATCTGAACCTCTTCCATATTTTCTATCTGTGTGGACTTAAGAAGTATTTCATTGCTATAGTAAGAGATCTTGCATATCTCCATTAAAGTAATTTTCTTAACTGTCAACAGTATGTGGGCATTCAGATCTTCTCAATAACATCATAGGAATTAATTATTTGCATGCAGTGTTAGGTCTTTATTAACGGCTATAATTTCTGTTTTCAATCTCGGGCAACAGCCTGTTTTCAGAAACTGAGCATATTCACTGAACTTCTCCCACCTGTCATCCTGCTCAGAAGTGATAACGCAGCTTGAAGGCAGCAAACGGACTGGGCTCTTTGAAGAATGGTCTTTTCCTTGGAAAGCCACACACTGAGCAGAAGAGACTAAAAAAAGAGATAGGAAGTTTAGGAGGTTTAATGAGAATGGATTTAGGAGATCACCTTTCCAATCAATTTAGTAAAATCTTCTAAACAACACAGAAGTTACTTCAATGATAATCTGCTGGCCTCTACATTAATATTATCCTCTGAGGCATACAGTATTTCAAATGATAGTCATGCGTATTTGTTCAATCATTTTTTTCTCATTTTAATTGTGATTTAATTGGGACCCCAGTCCCCTTAACTTTCACATTTACATTCCACAAAGAATTATTTTAATTTTGTAATGTCATTTCTAATGTTTTCGATCAATTTTGCTTAATCTGATTAAGCAAAACTGCTTTTAATTCCTCTCACATGGCAACTAATTGTGTGTTGTATGTATCTTGTCAAAGAATCCCCCACACACAAAGGTCTAGGGTTCACTGGTTTCCCAGGCCTCAGTTAAATTCCAAAGAAAGATACCATAAGGAAATTCCTTAGTATGGGGTTTCTTCAAATCAGAAAGCATGAATAATTGAAAAGAGTACGAAGAATGAAAAATATGTTTAACAAGAAATAAAGTGAAGCAGTCTTAAATCTTGCAACAATAATTAAGATCAAAACAATTATCACAAATGTATCTAAGTTCCCCGTGAATAAAGTAGAAAATGAGAAACCTCTTTTAACAGGGAAAGAAAAATGTGGAAACTAAAAGATAAATTTCAGTACAGCATTTCATGGAGGTAAATTAAAGAATATGTGCCTCCAAGTCAGTCTTCACTCCTGCTAATTGCTTGAACAAATCCTTATACTTTTCTTGGTAAGATTTTTTTACATTTTTTAAACCCTCCCTTTATTATTTCTATAAATAACTCAAGGTGGCAAACATACCTAATATTCCTTCTTCCTCCTCTTTTCCACACAACCACCCCATAAAGTGGCCTGAGCTGAGATACTGATTGGCCAAAATAATCCAGCCAGCTTTCATGCCTAAGGCAGGGCTAGAACACTGTCTCCTGGTTTCTAGTGTGGAATCATAAGCACTAGCCCGGGATAGGCAACCTTGGCTCTTTTATGACTCGTGGACTTCAACTCCCAGAATTTCTGAGCCAGCCAAGGTTGCCTACCCCTGTGGGACTAGACCAAAACTGACTCTGTAACAAGTTAAGTATCCCATTTTTATGACAGAGATGTAGAATATTAGTTTTATTACTTATGTCTTTTGTTGCAGATTAATAATCTAATTATTAATTCAATTACATTCAAAACTCTTTAAAACACATGGAAATGGAAATGGGCAAATTGTTTCTATATAGAGCAGTGGCCAAAATTGTGGAAACCTTTTGGGAAAAGTGTACAGTAGAAATGCCACCTTTGGTTAAGTTTCCACCAATTTTTCTTCTAATATCTTTATAACTGTAGCCTTATTCACTTAATAATAGTATTTTACATCGCTTTCTGGGCAACCAATCAGTCAACTCTTTGCACCATTACTTTAATTTTATTACGTTTTACAAGCTCACTGAATGAAAGAAAAAAAAAACCAACCAACTTGATAGCAATCACAATAACACACTGACAAATGTTCTCCTCTCAGCTTCAATACATGACATCAATAACTGAATCCTACTGTGATCTGATTGGCTCATTGCCAAAACAAGATGACACCTGATTGGCTCTCTAAACACTCATGCTCATTGGCTACAATCAGATGAAGGAAAGCTACCTGATATCAACCTAAGCAAGTTGTGCTTCCTTTTTCTGGTTATTTGGCTATAACTTTTCATAGAATACAGTACAGATAATTGAACAAACTATGTTGCATTACATTCTTGATTAAATTATCTTTCCATTGATATATAATTTTATGGTACTACTCCAAAAAAAAGTGGTGTTCTTAGCCATCAAACTTCAAAAATACTTTTCCCAAAAGGTTTCCACAATTTTGGCCACTACTGTATAAATGTTCTCTCCCCCTCCTGCCTCTTCCATGTTTTAATTCTCTTCCCCACCCACTTTATGCTCTAATTTTGATTCTTATTCATCTATTTCTCATATATTGGCCATAAACCAATAAGCAATTAGAATATAGGCCTGATGACCACAATAAAGAATGAAACAGGCAACACTCACCAATAATATCTGGGGGCTAAATCCTGCAGACACCAGAGTTTGACACATTTCTTCTATTGAACTTTCTCCATGTAAACATTTCCAGAAAAAAAACCCTCCTGTACATACACACAGAAGACATCAGACATTTTTTTTACTTATTCAACCCCATTTCACCCATTACATTCTTTCTGATTAAAAACAGAACAATCTGTCAGAAGGTGGAGATGAGACCTATTCATAATGAGAGTAAGTTAGATCAATGAGAGCTATTTATATTATGCATTCTCCTCCTGTTTGCAGGTAGTCCTCAATTTATAGCCATTCATTTAACAATGGTTCAAAGTTATGACAGTCTTGATAAAAGTGATTTACAATCTGTATTCACACTTATGATTACTGCACTACTCCCCATGATAGCATGATCTCAATTTGGGTGTTTGGCAACTGGCTTGCATTTATGATCAGCTGCAGCATCCTGTTGTTGCGTGATAGCAATTTGCAACCTTTTTTTTTTTTTTGGCAGATTTGCAATAGAAAATACACATCGGGGAAGCTGGAGTCACTTAACAACAATATGATTCACTTAACAAGAGGCGGAAAACTTGGGTCCAGCTCGACTTATGATTGCAATGACTTATGATGGAAATTCCAGTCCTAATTGTGGTTGTAAATTGAGGACTATTGGTATACAATCTCATTCCCATTGCACTAAACCAATGTCATTTCCATTGCATAGATCGAAGCAAATCTTTAGTCTGCTCTGTAAAACATAAAGAGTACTTCCTAATATTAATGTTTTCAGGGGGCTCCTTCAGAAAAACTTTCTAACTAAATTAAAAAAAAAGAAATCTGTTACGCAAGTGGAGAAGCTCCTTAGCCAAGGTTTCCTTAATAATCCAAGCTCCTACCTAAAGCCACGTATTCCTTGTCATCTAGTTTTTTCACATTAATTGCATCTTTTTCATAATCCAAGTAATCCAAGAAAGTTTTCACAGGCAGCATTCCATCTTCATCCTCCACAAAATGTACTGAAGGCTGGGTATTCTGCTGTTTGTACCTCTCAAGTAACATCTGCAGCCGAGTGAATTCTTTTTCATCTAACCGGAGTAGTTTAGCCAAGATCTTAAAAACATGAAATAAGAGAAAATCAGATTTACCTTTGAAACCGCTCTCATATTCACTCATCACAATTTTTCTGATAATCAATTTTGATTTAAGATATTTTGCTAAGTAGTTGTTATGTTGCATGGTTGAGGATACTTTCCCCAATATTCCTTGTATCATTCAGAAAATATTGAGAGGTCCTTACTTACACTAAATTTATTTCATGCAACAATTGGATTTATTGATATTTCTAAAAAAAATTGCTTGGACATCTGGTATAGCTCACATTTCAAATACGTAGCTGCCCATTAGTTAATAAATAAAGATGTTAGAAATATTTAAAATATATTCTATTTTGAACTGGATCCAAACACTGAAGTAACCTAGAATACTAATAGAAATAATTTAATTCTAGTCATAGGTCAAAGTTTTCTTGAAGAAGACTATTGAAAAGAGCATCCTAAAAGAATTTCAAATTATTCCATATAATTTTGTGAAAAGCAAAAAAGATCTCATAAGAAATATACTATATCAGTGTATTACACTGACCAATTACTGCCCAATTCTAGTGCCACTAATTTTTATCCTCTTTTATAATTTTATGCCTACAAAAAGCATAATACATAAAGTAAGGCTTGCTACTTCCCTTAGGTTGACATGTTAAACACCAACACAATTAAGATGTCAGTTTTTTGATAAAATATTTCCTTAATGCAGAATATTGGCAGTTCCAATTTCAGAATAGTAAGTTCAAAGAGCTGAGTTCAATGCTGCAGATCCACCTGCATAAATGGGCTTCCTTGTGCAGCACTCAGAAGTCCAAGACAGAAGAAGCAGGAAGACCATGAAAATCTTAGTGCTCTCTGACCTTGGTTGTTTGCTTGCAGACATTTTATAACTGAACTTGATTAGTGCTACAGGAAGCACTGATGATGTGATCTAGTTGGGTAATGAAACATCTGCAAACAAATAACCAAGCTTAGAGAGCACTCCACAGTTTGACCTACAAATATTGTCTTCTTTCCTGGAGAAGGAAGACTCCATTGTGCTCACAAATTCCACAAATGCATGACTCTTAAATACCTTGAATATATTTTCATTTTTTAAAAAAGTCAGTATGATTTTTTTCTACTTTCTTTTATATATACATGTCTGCATTTCAAGAGTGGTTTTCTTTTCATAAAATCAAAGTTTCACAGTACTTACGTTATCAGATGGCTCTGTCTCAAGCTTCATATTCTGCGAATTTAAATTGCTGACTGACTTGTGAAGCTGCAGCAGTTTTAGTTTATTTGCACAGAACTGTAGCAGCCCTTCATCAATATAATCCATCTCTAGACAGAGCGACAGAAAGAAAATAATGCTCATTAGTCTCAGTAAATGTGCAACTGAGCTGTTAAGCCTTTCTGCAGCTTCATCAAACAGCCTGCTAAGTAGGATATTTTCAATGCACAACAGCCTGCAAGAAGATACTGTTTCATTAAGTTAAATCCTGGATAGGTTTTGTCTATAGGCAAGTAAAGTGTCAACTTCCCTTTAAACACAAAGTTGAAATCAAATCCAAACCAAAGAAAAAGCAACATTTGAAAGCTTGTAATAACAAGTATCTAAGGAATATGTTTCTATGAATTCTCCAGCTTACAATGCTCATCCACAAGATGAATCTCCTACAAATCTATCTCCTGATCATTCTTACTTCATTTATTTTATTTCCATAGTCGCCATCTCAACAAGTGATTTGCCTTCCAGTGTTGAAAAATGAACATTCAATCCACCATCATTAAGAGTTCTCCAGATTTTTATTTGAAGAATTTAATATTTTTACTGCAGCTTTTCCTCCTGAAGCAACCCAAGCCTTTTGAACAAGAAGTGTGGGCTTATCTTCATAAATATCATTAATTGTGTTGTCTCAATTTCCTATTTTATATAGCTGGAACCAAGTCATAATCCTTGGGCTGCCTTGCAGTCTTTATCTGCTTTAGGATCCTACCTAAAATTGTATCAGTTGCCAGAATTCCCTGGTGGATTTTCTAGCCAGCACAACTGTCCTTTCTGCTGAAACCTTGGTCTCTCGCTTCAATCAGATGGCTGATACAGTCACTCTGGATACCTTCCCTGCTTCTATTACTAGTTCAAAAGACCTTGGTATGAAAGAATATGGAAGACAGCAAAACTGGAGATGGAAGAACATAAAGATGATTAGAGCTCATCCTCACTGCAAGTTAAAGAAAGGACGATGCTACACAGAACATTATAATGGATCTTAAAATGAATTTATCTGACATAAACTTCAAAGAAAGAATACAAGTAAATCTCCAGTGTTATACTTATGAAAATATTTGATACAATCATTCATTTTAAACCACACATTACATATGTTTCCAGTGAGCAATTTCCATTTTTGAATGATGTCAAAACAATCTCTGAAGGAAGAGAATTATTTGATTCTGAAATGTTTCTGCCATATACTACTGTATTCCCTTGTTCTCCTGCAAGGGTATCAAAATGCTACACTAGAGTTCAGGAGCGGGCAATTAATTTTCTGAAAGGGCCACATGAGAAACTGGGACTTTTGTGGAGGGCTGCCATTCCATCCCACCGCTCCGCCGATGCCCTGCCCCTGCCCCGATGTCACCCCATCCCCAAGGGCAACGCCCCACTGCCAACGACAATGCTGCAGGCCAGACAGCAATAGCCAAAGAGCCAGATGTGGCCCATGGGCCATAAAATGCCCAGGTCTGATATAGTTCCTTAGAAAATTGCACTTGTTTCTTTCAATTACCCGGTAACAGCAGAAACAAGACCCACAATATTATCAATGACTATTATATTCTTTCAACAGGGCATACTTGAATCCTTATTCTGTATATTTTTTGTGACATAATGGGCAGAAAAGAAATATTAACTTACCCTGATTTTTTAAGGTCTCCATCAGTGTTTGTGTGATGTTCATCAGAAAAGATAACGGCAAGCGCTCATTTGCCAGGATGCTTTCTAAAGCCTATCAGTAAAATATAACACAGACTTTCACAAGTCATGCTACTATTTTTAAAAATAAACCTACTGATATGTATCATATGCTTCTATATTGCTTAACTTTAGTATCTCTTGAGCTGGAAACTTTGCTGGTCCTAAAGTAGACCCTAGGAGACATGCAGTTATCAAGAGAAAAATATGAAATGTCAATGAAATGACTTCTTGGTTTATGATATATCTTACTACAGAAATGATCATACTTTATAAACTAGATTTATGCACTGTGTAAACACAGGAACTGTGTTATAAGTAAATCCAGTTTGGAATTATTTTTAAATGATTTTATGTCATGCAGTATTCCTTCAGGAAGAGCAAGTATATTAGCTGCTGAGGGGCTAAAATCAAATCTATAACAAGCAGGAGAGAAAATCAAGACCCAACACTGTCAAACCTGCACAGTGACAGAAAAGAAAACAGCTCCCTTTCTTATAGTCTCTCTTTCACTTTAAATAATTACAATGTGTGCACAGTATTCAGCTTTTCTTCCAGTAAGTATTGCCAAATTCCATCCTGCTAGCACCCAGGAGGGCAAGAATTTGAAGCAAATCACTACTAATAAAATACTCCAATCACTAATATAAAAATGGAGTTCAAAACAAATTTTAAAAGAGAGTAACAGACATTAATTTACAGATATAAAGCAGGTTAACCTGCCAAATAATGCATTTCTTAATTACCTGTTTTTTAGTAGCAGGATATTTAACATCTAGTATTAATTCCTTTACTTCAACCTCAACCGTATCTGGAAAGAAAAATAACAAATATAATTTCAAAAAATCATTGAGACATGTTCTAATCACAGGCGGATTATATTCAAGTTCTTCCTCTCATAAATAACTGGGAACAGAATACTATTTGCTTAAAGCCAAATACTTTACAGCTAGCTACTTCTGACTGATATAAACTTTAAATTCCTGGTTTTTCTGCTTTGTCACAGGACATCGTGATGAAGATGTTTGCACTGCAGATAAGTCAGGATATGCTCCAATCCAGTTAACACCAAGTAAAATAGTCTGTGTTTCTTGTAATCCTCTTATCTCAAGTGATCTGTTGAAATGCGTTTCTCCAGCACCCTGACTGCTTTGAGGAGTTAGCTTCCCCATCTTCACAACAACCTCCAAGAAAGTTCACTACACTGAAGCCATAGAACTGTGATCAAAACTACCACAAAGACTGGCACAGGAAAATAAGAAAATAGAATAAGACAAATGAACTCTTGAGAAACTGATAACTGATAGTTCAACACCTCAATCATACTTCCATAAGATAGACTTATATTATTATTATATTAGATTTTTATCCCACCTTTATTACTTTATAAGTAACTCAAAGCAGTGAACATACATAATACAGGTAGTCCTCAACTTAGGAACATAATTGAGCCCAAAATTTCCGTAACTTAGCAAGACAGTTAAATGAGCTTTACGAACTTTCTTGCCATATTTGTTAAGTGAATCACTGCAGTTGTTAAGTTAACAACATGGTTGTTAAATGAATCTGGCATCCCCATTGACTTTGCTTGTCAGAAGGACATAAAAAGTGATCATATGACCCTAGGACACTGCAACTGTCATAAAGACATGCCAGTTGCCAAGTGCCCCAATTTTGATTACGTGATCATGGGGACGCTACAACAGTCATTAAGTCACTTTTTTTTAGTGCTGTTGTAACTTTAGTCAATAAACAAATGGTTTTTAAATCAAGGACTATATGTATGAAGCAACACCGATAGGGAAGGAAAACAAGATTACAAAAAAGATTTAAGTCTGGGGCACAGGGGTGGAGGCACGCAGGAAACATGAGAAAGAAACTCAGACTAACTTTGCCTTAATTACCCTAGATCAGTGGTTCTCAACCTGTGGGTCGGGACCCCATTTGGGGTCGAACGACCATTTCATGGGGGTTGCCAAACAACGCAGTCCACCATTTTTTCCCCTTTTCCTTAGCTGTGCTACTCCCTTTTATTCTATTGGCTTTTGAAAGCCAATAGAATAGACTTTCTTGAATAGACTCTAATTCTATTGGCTTTCAAAAGCCAATAGGAATTGTCCAGGCTGTCTCTGCCCTGCTAAGCCCGCCAAAAGTCCCATTCTGCAAACGGTGCTGCACCAGTTGAATAGTCCTCGACTTACGACCGGTTGAGTAGTCCTCGACTTACGGCCGGTTGGGGGTCGCGGCATTAAAAAGGTTGAGAACCACTGCCCTAGATAGAAGACTGGTAACCAATGCAACTCAGGGAACTAAGGTGTAACATGGGCTGTTCTACAACTGCACATAACTGCATTTTGCATCAGCTTAAATTTTTATGCTGCCCATCTCCCCAAACTGCTTGGTGGTTACACGTTATATAACAAATATAAAAATAATTAAAACATTAAAAGTACACAGTTTACACCCATGTGAAGCATATTACAGTAGTCCATCCAAGAGGTTACCAAGGCATGAGGGACCACGAACAGAGGCTCTCAATCTAGAATGTTTGCAACTGGTGCACAAAAAAAGCTGTGAAAAGTTTATCCTAGACTGTCACCTGCTCTTCAAGATTATGCAAGAGGTCTGTTTAGGAAGCACACACATATACAACACAAACATTCTAGCAAGGTAGCCAAAGCATTTAAAGCAATATATCAAATAACTTATGACCTGATTTTACTCAATTACATTGCCCAAAAAATATTGAACTAAATGCAATTTTAGAAATATTGTAATTTGAAAGATTTAGTATTTAAACATTTCCTAATCATATTGGGAGATTATACTAACATTCCACTGTGCCATTCTAAGGTGACAGTTATCAAAACTGAGTTCATCATGCAGACTGAAATTATATTTATAAGCCGGCTACTACAAAATTAGGCCCAATTGAGCAAAGTATTGACATTTATACTTTTTGCAAAGGAGGCACAGCATTTCATTCAACTACACAACACTAAATTAGGCTCAATTACCTTAAATAAAACTGTAGTCTCATCATGTTCATGATCTTTAAAAAGACACCGGTGTTATGACTTTGAATAGGAACAAATACAGAACCTACCCAAATTCAATGTTTTAGCTTTCAGCAAGGCTGCCAATTTCTTCAATAGATGCATATCCTTTGCTCGCTCACTCTTCTTGTCGCTGGAAAATATTTAAAAATATACACATTTGTCTATAACAGTACATTTGAAATTGAGACGGAAAATAATAATTTGTCATTGCACTGATTCCTCTGTCAACATTACTGAACAAGTAATGGGGCTGCCACGAAGAAGAGGGAGTGAAGTTATTCTCCAAAGCGCCTGAAGGCAGGACAAGAAGCAACAGATGGAAACCGATCAAGGAGAGAAGCAACCTAGAACTAAGGAGAAACTTCCTGACAGTTAGAACAATTAACCAGTGGAACAACCTGCCTCCAGAAGCAGTGAATGCTCCAACACTGGAAGTTTTTTAAGAAGAGACTGGACAGCCATTTGTCCGAAATGGTGTAGGGTTCCTGCCTGAGCAGGGGGTTGGACTCAGTGACCTCTAAGGTCCCTTCCAACTTTTATTATTATTATTATTATTATTATTATTATTATTATTATTATTATTATTATTATTATGGATCATCGCACAGTCAGCCAGATGTTCAGACTGGATTTGGCATTTTGTCTACCTATCGAGTTCTTATCCAGGACCTGGGATAGGCAGATGTGGATGTTTGATGGTATTACAGGTATCGTCGCAGGATGGAAGCAGTTCCTAGTAAGGCTGCCTTTTGCAATTGACTAATAGCGAATTTGTCAATGCCAATGGTGTTCAAGTGGTGCTCCAGTTGTTTTGGGATTGCACCCAAGGAGCCTATTACTATTTGTACTACCCTTGCTTTCTTTTGCCACAGTCTTTCTATTTCTATTTGTAGGTCTTTGTATTTTGTTATCTTCTCCAGTTCTTTCTCTTCTATTCTGCTATCTCCAGGCACTGCCACGTCCACTATCCAGACTTTTTTGTCTTTCTTATCGACAATGTTAAGTCTGGGGTGTTATGTTGCAGGTGCTTGTCTGTTTGAATTCTGAAGTCCCAGAGCAGTTTAATTTTATCATTTTCTATGACTTTATCTATTTTATGATCCCACCAGTTTTTGCTTACAGGCAAATGATATTTTTTGAAGATCTTCCAATGCACCATTGTTGCTACTTTGTCATGCCGCTGCTTGTAATCAGTCTGTGCAATCTTCTTGCAACAGCTTACCAAGTGGTCCACTGTTTCTTCAGATTCTTTGCATAGGCGGCACTTACTGTCTGTTGCTGTCTTCTCAATTTTGACTTTGTATGCATTTGTCCTTAAGGCTTGGTCTTGTGCAGCCAGAATTAGTCCCTCGGTCTCTTTCTTCAATTTTCCTGCTCTTAGCAATTGCCAGGTTTTATTATTATCTGCTTTCCCAGCTATTTTTTTCATGTATTGGCCATGTAGTGCTTTGTCTTCCCATGCCTCTATTCTGTTCCTCATTTGGTCTTTCTTGTAGGCCAGTTTGGTCTCTCCAGTAGTCAGTAAGCCTTCCTGAAATACTAATTTCAGTGCATCTTCATCATTGTTCTTCAGATATTCTTCCAAAGCCATTTTTTCTTCTTCAACCATCTGATGTACTTGTATTATTACATCAGGCCCTGGCTATGTAACATCAAAAACACCTGTCAGGCTACGCCCACTTCCTTACGAAAAAATGGATGCAGATGTGGCAGCTGTTAGTTCACATTGTTGTGCATATAATAATGATTTGATATGTAGATGAAAGTGCCAAATCCACAATCAATAATCAATTGAAGAAATTACATAAAATCTGACTGGATGAAAAATCATAACCATTTATTAAACTTATGTGCCTGCCTGCCTGCCTGCCTGCCTGCCAATATATCCAGGTGGCTTGCCACAATGAAAGAAATTACAAAAAATTAATAAAAGATAAAGATAAACATGGCAAGCAATATGAAGCAAGGGGTTCTTACTCTCCCTCATCAAAGACTGGGTGAAGAGCAAGGTCTTCATGGCTCTTCTAAACAATAGCAGAGAATGGGCCACCTGGATCTTGGGGGACACCTCATTCCAGAGGTCTGAAAAAGGGGAGTGCACATGCTTCAAATAACCAATTGACCTGTACACAGAGAAAGTTATGTCACTTTTCACTGGCACTACTTAATACAAATGCATATTTCAAGAAATATTATGAGCAAAAGGGTGTAAAAGCAAGACAGTGGGAATTCTTCACTGTTGTTTTAGTAATTAAATAACAGTAATAATATATTATAAGAAGGGAAATCTGGCTTTTCAGAATGTGCTCTTATTACAAGTGAATTTGCTAGAAAAAATCCTAGCATCTCTCAGAATTGGAAACTGAGTATGTTAGATTATCCAATATCTGCACATTTAAAAAAACTTTTATAATTCATTTCATAATATTGACTTAGTTCAATTATGCAACGTAAAGTTTAAGAAGCCTTACCTCAGGGCTAAATGGAAAGGTATGTGAACTGTTTTTACTGTTCCTGATACTGGATCAACAAGGCAGATCTGATAAGTCTGAGGCTGCCAACCCTGACTTGTTACGCTGTTCAACCCCATTATTTTATAGCCTGGATACAGCAACCTAAATATGGGTTTGGAGATATATAATTAAAAACATAATAACCAACATACATTTTTGCACAAAACTATAGGCTCTAAAATATCAAATAATATTACAGTCTTATAAATAAATAAAGACAGTGCACAAATCTCATATTATACAGGACAATTCCTGGGTAAATGCAGTTTGTCAGTTTGCAGATTTAAAAATTATTATCTCACATTTTTAATTTTTCTGCACTTGTATGTACTTACATAAAGCATATAGGTACATTTTGTTCAACTTAATTTCAATTATTTTTCTGGAGACTATCCTGCCTTACATTTTAAAATCTCTTCCATTACCAAAAATGTCTTACCTGCAATGTTTTCCTACATTGAAGGCTCCAACCCTTGGACCTTGTTGGGTACTCCATACTTCCAAAATCCCTCTCCTAGGAGCATAAATCACAAGAAACTGAGCCACTCTGCTTGGTCCCTGAGGGGTACTAGTTGGAGAAAAGTCTGTCTTAATAGATTCTCTTTCATGTAGGTCTTCTGCAATCTGAATCCAACCAACCTGTGCATCACGATAGCCTGTGCATGAAGGATAAACTGGTTAAGATGCTAAATGTATTTGTGTATAATGGTTAATTACATTGCTGGACTAAGAGTGAGGAGACCCAGATTTTAATCCTCCTTTAGTGTGATGACTTTAGACCAGTCTCTCTTAGGCCCTAGACTGGGAAGTTAAAAAATCACTGACCACTGTAATAAATTACAATCTATAATCTGCAATGGAGAGGTCTTTATCCTGAGTGGATTGATTCAGGCTAGTAATAATCGTATCTGTGTATAAACGAACTATATGAGAATTCAGTGCTACACTGCAATATTACTATTCCAGAGCTGATCTTTACACTTCAAAATCCTTTGTAAATCTGAATATCTGGTATTTTAAAAACCAACAATCGCTATTTTAAATTCATACTTAACTGAACTGAAATAAAATTATCTCTCAAATGGATAAGTGACCAGTGTTTATCTCCTCCAAGTTATTAAAAGATACTAAAAGGTACCTTTCCACATACGAACAGAAAGACCTCTTGCAACATCCAATAGAAGAACTCTTCCAAAATCATCAGTAATTGCTGCTAAAGAATTACAAGGAGACAAACATATTCTTTCTCCATGTCGACGAGAATCTGGGATTCCAAACCTACATTCAAATAAAGCCAAATGTACAAAACAATCTCTAAATTTGGCTCCTTGGTTACTAAATAAAGTAATATATTTTACAAAATCAGTAAATAAGTTGTTCTTTATTATTTTAACTTTTGTAGAAAATCAGTTTTCTGATTAAGATATACTGTATTACATTCAATTCAATACAAAACTATTTTGTATTTGGATGATCCATTCAAAGTACAGAAATTTTAACAAGATTATTATTTCATAATGATTAGCATTAAACTTGACAGCATAATATAATTTGCAAGAACCCTTAACAATTATAGAAAAGCTCTAGTTTAGAAAACATATTGCATGTCACATGCCACAAATATACAAGAATTCATATAACTGTTAATATTTTATAATGGGAGTTCATAAAACACAATTTGGTGCCTTAAAGGTTAACCACTTTTATTATTTCATGAACTTTTGTGCATCACATTTACATCAGATATGAACCACAAAGTTCTGTGTCTCTTTCATTTCTGTTGATAGTTCTGCTGTGAAATATCACAGCTACCACTTTGGAAATAATGTAATCACATTAGCCTCATCAACTGGCAGCACCAAGAACCTAAAAAGTGTCCAACTGGGTTATATTCAGATTGAGGAACACCTTGGAATTGAAGGGCTGTTGGCTAGACTGGGAAATCAAGACAACTGTTTATGGGCAGGGCTATCTTTCAAAGTCAAATTTCAGGCTTATGGAAATGTGGAGGTTTTGGTTAGAACTCCAAGACAATCAAATGGGCAGGTGCAAAACATACAGAATCTGCACATTTCTGTTGAACCATAACCTTAGCTTCTTTGTCTTTTTTGCAGCCATTATGATTTGTAAACCCAATTAATGGTCTTTGACAATCCAGCCAAATGTAGTTTATTCAAAACTAACCATCTTTAGAATAATGTTTATTTCTGAGTCCAGAAAGAGATTTTTTTTTGTTACCAAACTTATCCAGAGCACACAATTCTTCCACAGAAAAATTTACTTTTTGTTATAAGAAGATTTAATTGTCTTTCCAATGAAATTGCAACAATGTAAAAATCCCATATACTCCCAGAGTAAAGAGCAAAGTGCTAGCTTCAGTCAATCTATTTCTAAATAGGAAGAACCTCTACAGCAGGAGAAAGATAGAAACTTCTTTATTGTGCAAACTGCTTGGATGACATATTTACAGTCTGCATATATCTCATGCATATATGGTTATGGCCAGTGGTGGGATTCAAATATGTGAACAACCGGTTCTCTGTATGGATGCTGCTTCTGGAAGTCCATTCTGGGCCTGGACAACCAAAAATTAGCTACCGATTCTGCCAGAGTGGTGCAAACCGGCTGAATCCCACCATTGGTTATGGCTCAACTATCCTCAGAGAATAATGGCAACACTGGTAAAGTATCTCATAACCTCTTTGCAAAAAGTAGCTTGAAAGACTTGCCTCACAGGTAAAGGAGTTGCTGGTTCAACCTTGGGTTTCTGCTTCTGTACAGGATCTTCTTCCTGTTTGTTTTTCCAGCCAAGCCAGCCACTTCAATACAAAGATTAAAATATCAATGTTTCCGTTTAAAGAAAATACATGAAAGGAATAAATCGACTGCACCTTCCATCTATTATACATTACCTAGCAGCATTAAAGAATGCAGATGTCAGCTTACTTGCAACTGTGAAAGCAACATGGGACAGTAATGGCTGTGAACTGCCCTAAAGAGAAGATAAAAATGCTGTTGTTTATAAATGGTGAAAAATAATTGATTTATTTTTAATAACCTTACTTCTGAGAACCTAGTTTGTCTTTGAGGTATAACTAACTTTCATCCTGCATCATCTGCTAAATTATATCATTTCAGAATAAAAAAGTGACCTTTCTTTGCTTTTTCTGATAATGTTTTACTATACAGTAAAAGCTTTGAGACCCTCAGGTTTTACAGGCTTAAAAATGTATCATTTGTCAAAAATATATGGTGTCAAAGCTGCTATTTTATTTTACAAAATTATTATTATTATTCATTAATAGGAAAGAATTATATTGAGTAATTAATAGTAATTGCTACAGAATATAAACTCATATTATCAACTATTAACAATTCCCCATATACAATAATCATACTGTGTAAGAGAATTACACAGAATAGGAAAGGCATTCATACACAAAGAAGCCCCAGATAAAAATAGCGTTATTGAAAAATATATTCAACTTTTTCAAAATTTCCTAGTATAAAAACCTAAGCGCTGGCATAATTGACCAGAGGCAGAAAACATAATGGTAGAAGTATAAATTTCTGCAAAAAATAGGAGAAGACTAGAGCAAGATCCATGAATTGTGGTGTGCCATAGCAGAGTTCACTTTGAGGCCCATCAACTTACAAAACCGTGTTTCAGAAAGTCAGGTATTAATTGGCAGAATATACACCAAGTCCCAGAATTTATTTTAAAAGGAATTACTTTCTTTCTTAAAGTAAGGGTTTTTACAAAAATCTACACAAAATTCAGTTCTAGAGGTGGGGATAAACTACAGGTAGTCCTTGAGTTACGACAGCAATTGGGATTGCCATCACTAAGCGATCTGGTTGTGAAATGCAATATCAAGTGACCGCATTGCTGGCGCTAACCTAGAGACATCGATTGTTAAACTCAAAGCAGATGGAGTCCCAAGTAAGGCGCATGGGAGTTCTTCAGGGGAGGCACAGGGAGGTCCAGCATAGTGTGGGGTGAAGGGGGAACAGGGAGCGGGGAATGTGTGTACGAGCACAAGAAGGCCAGGAAAAGAGGATGCAAGGTGCATGCATGTTTTTGTACAAACATGGGGCTGTCGAGGGAAGGCGGACACTGGTGAATGGGCAGAGAACCCCAGAGAAGGAGGCACAGAGAATGTGAGTGAAGTAAAGTGATGGGGGGCGACTTACTGGAACGACTTGTGAGCTTCCCTGCTGGCTTCTAGATTGACTTTGCTTGTGGGAAGCCAACACAGAAGGTCAGCAACAGCAATCACATACCCACGGATGCTGCAACTGGTGGTAAGTGTGAGCTGGCTGCCAAGAATCCTGATTTAGTTCACTACAACAGCCAGAACTTCAAGAACGGTAATAAATCCCTTCATTCAATGCCATCATAACGTTGAACAATCACTACATGATCATAATTCAAGGACTACCTATAAGGAAATTGGACTATAAATGACCTGGAGAGGTCTCACCAAATCTCAATAGAATTTCTGCCTTTCCCATTCAAAAACTTCATTAAAACTAAGACTTAATATTAACCAATAATGATTACCCATTAAATGTTCAGTTTTGAAACCTTGGTAACTGCAACTTCTTCTATGCAGTTCTGTTCACAGGATTTATGTTTCAGGTTTAGCATAATATTTCAAATGTGGTTAATTCCATTCTTTTCTCCACCAGAAAGAAATTTTACTAATTTATCTAAGACATTATACCCAGGATGTTTTATGTACTATTGTGGCAGAGCTTTAAAAAAAACATAACTCTGGTTTCCTGCTTTTTTTCCTTTAAAAAAACAGGAATGTGAATTTCAAATTTATAGCTAGTGAGGCCGGGTCATACATTATGGATACAATATACATTATATTCTACTACAAGAATCTTGCAGAAGTTGGTTAGGCAGGAAAACATATGCTAAGCATGAAAGAAGGTAAAAAAAAATTTTTTAAAGTTTCATAATTGACACCTGGCAACTGCATCCATATAGTTTTTTTGGCAGCTATACAAAAATTGTTTGATATTGCCTTCTTCTAGGAACTATTTCTCAATCTACCCTACGGATATGGAATTCCCATGCACTCCTCTGAGTTTTATTCAAGCCCAAATTCGAGACTAACCAAGATTGAGAAGATACTGCCCCCTGCTGTGGCCCTCTAGGCAAATTTCATATCTGAGAAGTGTGTGTTCAGCACTAGAACAATGTTCATTAAATTCTACCCCACAGGAATTGTTTTTTTTCTCCAAAAATTCATGTTCAGTTACCTAACTTTGGAGAGGGGGAAGGCACAAAAGGGTTCAGTTTCTGCAATTGTTAAATATGTGGAATATTTTAATGTGAACTGGGTCATCTAACCAGTAGATCCTGATCTACAATAACATCATTACGCAACTGAAAGATTTTTAATTAAACAGTAAGTTGTTCTTAGTTTCATTTTCCATTAGCAGCAAAAAGCAAAATAACTAAGAAAGAGTAAACAGGGAAAGAAATGAGTCTTTTATCCAGCCCATTGCATTTTATACCTACTGGCTGTGCAAGTTCTTTACCTCAAGGGCATAGAAGAACCCAGTGAAAGGATTAGACCCCACAGTAATATACTGAGACATAGCAGGAGGATTGTTCTTTATAGCTGCATTAAATCCGCCAATAGTGGAAGCAGTCTTCATTTGATCAAAAGGTGATAGAGTCATGATACCTATATGAAATAATGAAAATAATCTCTGAAAAAGAAATTTCTAAGATCCTAATAGCTGTTCTTGAATTGATCCAAATATGTTCACAATTCTAAGGACTCCTAACTTAAAAACATATACAGTTACTATAGAATTAAAAGTGCATTATGTTGAAGCAGACACTTCATTAATATAGCAAAAGCAGGACACATTCTCCATAATTTTTTGAAGGTTCTCGAAGTTAAAAACTATATTCTAAAGCTCAATTTTGTCCCACTGACTCTTGAAATGGAATCTGGCCTAGCAAGAAAGAGTTACATTTTTGAGATCGGAATTCCAAATTATTCAGATATTAATTTTAAAAAAACAGCACCAGGACTAATCTGGAATGACTTCATATAATTTTATCTAGAGTATCTGCGTGCCACAGCTCAGTTGACTTATAAATATATTATTAAAAAACAAAAATGAAAACAAAACTTTAAAATATTATTGAAACATTACATTTTTACACAGTTAAAATGGTGAAACACTTTTAAAAAATTAAAAGGCCTTATCATCTAATGTTAGGTTGGTCTTGACCCTTCTAGCCTTTCAGAAAGCCTTTAAGACCTGGCTGCGTTCCCAAGCATGGGGCTGGAAGGACAGCCCATGATGGCTTAAGAAAAAATGCAATTCCCCAAAACAATGATGTATACATCCTGAAGTCCAGACCAAGGTCAGTGACAACTCTGTCCCATCAGCAATGCCTTATTGAACTGTTATAAATATTATAATGACAGTGTAATGAAATGCTTTAAATTAGAGAAAGGTATCACTTTTCAACTAGAAGGTCACATCTTGCCTTCATATTCTCCCTCCAGGAGTCATATCATGATGACATATCATGAGATTTATTTAGGGAGGGGGGAGAAGGCCCATATTTGAAATTTTAACTTAAATCAGTTTGTTCCTTTTAAGACTCAAACACACCAGAAAAAAAACCCATTTAGTTTCTATGGAAACCTTTGTATTTATAGTGGAGGATATAGATGACTTCGCTAAGATCAAGGCTTAAGGCAAATTTCATGGCTTGACCCTTTATACCTGACCATCTTTCAGCCCTAATTATTTGGAGGGGGGGTTCCTGAGGTGTAAACAAATCAGCTGGAAGGCTTCATGCACTCTACTGAATCTTTATTCTAGCGAAGGGTCAGAGATAGAATAACAAATAAATAAATAAATAAAAAGTAGAGTAATAGAGGTCATTGTAATAGTTGATAACAAAAATACATTAAACTATGGGAGACCTTTTACTAATTGATGCCAAATTTTCATGGCTCATACATAATATTCTGCTGCTATAAATGATTTACAATCTGAAAAAAGGATGAAAATGTAAGTATTATCAGATTGCCCAGGCTACTGATGTAAAAGAGATAGGATATAGGCATGGTAAACATAACTAGAACAAATTAGCATATATTGAACCATTTCAACATCCCAATTCTACACAAACATATTTCTCAGCTGGGATTTTATAGTATTAAGCCTTGCCCAACAGAAAGCTTTCCTTAGTTTGGGGAATGTCAATAAAGTGAGGTGATTGGCTATTCCCAAAACCCAAGTTCTATGACTTTGTGATAAGTTACAACATTTACTTCTGCCTGAAATGTAATGTCATTAAATCTTTTCAGAAGATGAGTTTCATACAATCATGGCCCAAGGCTTGTAGTAACTCTGATGATAGCCCACAAGTATTAGGGATTTTTTTTCATGACATTGTTCCAATTTAAGGGGCGATACTACTACATTCGTGGTGGGAGCACAGAAGCACTTCCCAGTTGAGAGGATTAGCTGGTGACATCACCATTGTCCTGGGGACGCCCATGAGGGCTCCTTTCATGTCCCCGTTAAGTTACCCACCAAAATGGTACAGAGTCTCACCATGGCCATCTCGCCGTGGGACAACTTGCTGCAGGATAAGAGTTATACTAATATCAAAGAAATGGTGGAACAGAATCATTGAAGAAAGGATGCCAAAGGAGGTACAGAATGAAATCTGAATGGCAAAAATTATTATTATTTATTTTTTAAATAATTAAATTGTTAAATTGTCCTGCAGCGAATTGTCCTGTGGCGAATTGTCCTGTGGCAAGTTGTCCATGGTGAGTTGTCCACAGCAAGTTTGTCGTGGTGAGTTGTTCCATTCTTCTATCTACTCATGGGAGACCATTTTCTAACTGCTGGGTCAACAGGAGCTGGAGCAGATGACAGGAGCTCATCCCATCATGTGGCCTCAGGGTTTCAAAGATGAGCCTGCCAATCATCATCCTAACCACATGAGCCACCACACTCCTATCAATCATTATTAATAGGAGAAGTCCCAAGGAGAAGAACTGGACCTTCATCCAGTATCAAGCTTCATGCTTTGAGCTCAGTTTTAGTCATCCCTGTTTCTAGTCTGAGAAGTGCATTGGCTACCTTCTGATATAGATCTTAGAAATGTAGCTTGGGGTACTTCAGCACTTCATCTAGGCTTCATACAGTACTAGGGCTAAGGTTTTAGCTTAAAATAGTTTCAGAGCAGTCAGTATTAATTCACCTACTTTGGTAAAATAGAATTATTTGATGGCATTTGCAGATCTTAATGCTGTCTGAGAGAAGTCTATCTGCAGATTATCAATTGCTGCTTTAAACTCTCTCCAGTACAATACACATGATTTTTTAAAAAAAAATAATTCATGGTGGATAAGGATAACAATTCAGTAAGGATGATCAGTGTAATACTTACCAACACTAACATGATCAACAATAGTATCCACATCCTGCAAACCCCATTTCTTATAGGCTAATGGAGGTGGCTGAACATTTTCACTGCCTGAAGCTGTAGCTGGCCAATTGATTAGAGAGAAATTAGAAAGAGTAGTTATTTTTAAAGCATTTATCATGGATTGGACAACACATAATATATTACAAAAATATTTTTAATTGTAAAGTATAGAATAAATTGCACTGTTTATATTACGAGTGCCAGTTTGGTGTATAGGTAATCTTTGGGTTACAATGGCAATTGGAGCCAGGAATTCCATTACTAAGCAACATAGTCATAAAGCACCAAATCATGTGACTACACTGCTTAACTATGGCAATTCCAGAAGTACTGGTTGCCATCATTAAACAAGGACCACGTGGGTCACTATGTGAAGACTTCAGATAATTGCAACTTCTGACTTCCTGGTGGCTTCTCCCTTGACTTTCCTTGTGGGAAGCTGGCAGGGAACATCAGAAAAATGATCACATGATCATGGGGACACTACTATTACACAATCACAAGCCAAGTACTAAGTATCTGGATTGCAACGACATGACCATGGAGACCCTGTGATTATTGCAATTCTGAGGATCCATCATAATTCCCTTCATTCAGTGCCACTGTAACTTTGAATTGATACTGAATAGATGTAGCAACCCAAGAATTACCTGTAGTTAAAGGCTCTAGGACAGAAACTGGGAAACCACAAGTTTTAGTCCACATAAATGCCAACTGAGGAGTTTGGGCCAGTCATTCTCTCAGCCTTAGGTAAAAAGCAATGGCAAACCACTTCTGAAAAATGTTGCTAAGAAAACTACAAGAACTTGCCCCTGGAATCACCAGGAATCAAGACTGACTTGAAAGCATAAAAAAAAACCTACACGTTAAAGAAAAGCTACTAAGACTGAAAGCCTATATATAATTTGCTTATAGTCCTGCTGAGCTCAACAGACTTACTTCCATATAGACATACATACAATTTTAGCCACTAGGGTACATTAAAGGAGTAATCAAAAGTAAAATCCTTGCTCAACTACAACATTTAGTTGTTAGTGTTTAGAAATCCACAGGATTTGGCAAGGATGTGGGTTGGTACCATAATAGCTAGTTTATACATTATAAAACTATTGGGCTGTTTCTTTTTTTCCTGCTAAACTATCTAGAACAGTGTTTCTCAACCTTGGCCACTTGAAGAGGTACGGACTTCAACTCCCAGAATTCCCCAGCCAAATTCTGGGAGTTGAAGTCCATACCTCTTCAAGTGGCCAAGGTTGAGAAACACTGATCTAGAGCAGGGGTTCCCAACCAGGGGTGTGAGATGATATTCCAGGAGGAGCGAAAACTTGGGTTTTCAAAATTATAGTGTATATGCATAATTCATTATCGTTATTTTGAACTTTTGTTAAGGGGTGTGAGATTATATCAGAAGCATTCTAGGGTTGCAGGATATAGAAAAGGTTGGGAACCGCTGATCTAGAGATACCGTATGTGAAAATTATTAAGCCCTCTTATTTTTTTAGAAAATACAGCAATAAAAAAGGAATTTATCTAATTCACACCAGCACACTCTTCAGGTCCTAACATACAAAAAGTCTGAATTTAAAAAATAAATGCAAGATTTGGAAGAATTCGTTCCTGGCACACACCAGTATGTCAAAATCACACACCAGTATGTCAAAATCATATAAAGTCAAAAATCTTGTGAAATTTCACACAAGAACATTGAAACCTTATGAGAACACATATACCATATATTAAATCAAGCCTGTATTAAACGTAGGGATTTTATAGTTCTAAGGATTTCACAAACAGTACAAACTGTACTGTATGATAGAAAAATAAAACAATGTCCTTTTATATCAAGTATTGCTAAAAAAGAAACTATTTTAATAAGGCTGGACTTACCCCTGGCTACTTGATTTCGACAAGCCCGGAGAGATTGAAATAAGCTAAAACCTTCAATTGTCACAATTGCTGAAGGATACAGGATGCTCAGTTCCTCATTCTAAATAAAAAGAAAGGTACTAATCACTTCAAGACAAAAATAATATATTTGCAAGTACCCACATATGCTATCCTGATTACTTGTTTACAATTTCTACAGAAGCACTAAGTTCCCTCCCAGAGAGGCAGTCTATGGACATTGCTGTAGCATCATCAATATCTGACTCTAGCTATTTCTAGAGCACAAATAGCTGCTGGAATTAATATGTTTTATACAGCGCAATTCTCAAATATTTTGGTGAAGCATAGAATATAAGATATCACTGATGCTATCCTTAGCTCAGCAAGCAAATAATCAATGGAACAGTATTGTATATCTCTAGTGTCAACATATTCCAATGAAATACAATGAGATAAAATGAAAGTATTTAAGGACTATATGGCCTAAATTTAATTCACATTTCTGCAATTAAATTAACACCATAGAATGGGTTGCCAATGCTGAACTATGACTTATATTTGCAAATATAAGCATACCTATCTATACATATTTGTAAAAGCAAGCTTGACTTCAGAAATATTTACACAGGAGAAAACAGTTCGTTTTTACTTTTTCAATACTTTGTGGATCTACTTTAATACCTGTTCTGTTACTCCAGGATGACGTGGAATCTCGTAAGTTCTACATTTCAGCTGTAGGACAGGATCTTCATTTAAAAGCTGTGCCAGAAGTAATACTCCACTCTTTGAAAAATGATAACATAGCAACAGGTACATTAATAATTTTATAGGAAGAAAATTCAAAAGCTTTTCTGCTGCAATTCAGTAAATCAAAATATTAGCTCACATATCAAACTTTTCCTAACTTGTATATGTTTTATAATTGTTTTAGCTTTTTATTTGTATATGTTTTGTTTTGTTTTGAGCAAGTGGTTTTTGTTATTTTTAATTCTTTGAGCCATCCAGAGTCATGTAGAGCCATGATATGCAGCTCTATAAATTGAATGAATGAATGAATGTAGTTTTGAAGGGTGCTAATTGCTCCATTTTATTTTTTATGTTTCTCACCTCCTTTCTGAACTTGAATGGTTACATATTTATGCCTATTGTCAAGGTACAGATTTTATTGATTGACTGACTGACTGACTTATTTGGTCAAGGACCAGCAACATAAAATAATAAAAAGGAAAATAAGTAATGACAATTACAATTAGGATTGACAGGCAGAAATCGGTGCAATTATATACTGGCAATATAAAATAAATCAAATATGGTATACTCTGAACACTCAAAGAAGTAGCGCAAGATCAAAAGATGTGGAGAGACCTGACCGATAGAATCATCAAGAGTTGGACATGACTGAATGGATAACATTATCATCATTTACCTAACACTAATAAATCTAATATAATAAAACTATACACTAAAATATATGCCCTCTAACTGTGAAGATATGTCTTTTCACGGACTTGCATGACTGCTCTCCACAGAGGGCATGATTCCAGCTAAAGGCACATTTGGTTGGGGGGGGGTTCAACAGGTGTGACGTGCATATCCAGGTATTCTGAATGACATTTTGCCCTTCAATAGTGAGTCAATGTACACTCGAAATTGGCCTGTTTTGCAAGTTCTCCAAGAAAAAAATATTGAAAGAAGTACAGCTAAAAACAAAGCCTTTCCATTACAGAATTAACTACCAAGGCCTGACAGCACAGAATATACTCTCTATCCCTACAGTACTCAAGCCATGGCCTAGCTCATGGGAAGGATTTAATGAGATCATGAAGACTTGGGGTAAGAGCTCATACAGTAGGCTCTTAATTGGGTCATGAGTAAGTTTAGAATGTCATTGGAATATGCAGCCAGCTATAGGCTCACGGAGAGTTAAGTTGCTTTGCATTAATATTCTCTCTTCAGCCATTCTAAACATGGCGAAAAAAGTAATGGTTTGCCTAGAAATTCCCTCCCTTTGGTTCTTTTATTTTTTATCCACAATAGCCGTGAGAGGTAAAGTATGGGCAAAAGAGGATGCAATTAGTTAAAATGTACCCAAATTTTATTTATGATGGCTCCAACCTTGGTGAAACTACCACGAGTTTGGGGTGGGTTTTTTTTTACATATTTTAAAGATTTTTAAAAACTGTATATTATATTAACTACATTTTCACCAATAACTTCTATAGGGCTTATAGTGATTGCCAATTATTAAAACACTCCAAAGGGCATATTAAAAATACTGCCATTGCTACCACTCTCCTGCAACTATAAATCACGCTTTTTCTTCACACTGACGGATTTAACCACTAAAAGCTCTAGAAAAGTAAAAGCTCTATAAAACTTTGGTCTGCATGGCCTTCCTGAATATCTGGAGAGAGGGTATCATTCAGATCTCTAAAACAAGGTTACTCCAGACAAATCAGAGCCCAACAAATGAAAAACACTGATTCTGATCTTCCTCCCACTTCCTGACCTTTCAGAACTCTTCAGAACATGTGGACCAGAGGGGTAAGTTATGTTGGATGCAGGCTATCTTGCAGTTCAGTGGCTACCTAGCAACGTAAAGATCTGTCTGTCTATCTATCCTATCTACCCTATCTATCTATCCTATCTATTTATCCTATCTATCTATCCAGCCAGCCAGCCAGCCATCCTATGTCTGTCTGTCTGTCTGTCTGTCTGTCTGTCTGTCTGTCTGTCTATCTATCTATCTATCTATCTATCTATCTATCTATCTATCTATCTATCTATCTATCTATCTATGTTGCCTATTTGGCCAGAGGTGACTCTAGGTGCCTTACATTCTTTTGTAGGTTAAAACTAGCACTTTGAATTCTGCTAAAAACCCTACAAGCATCCATTGCAGAGAATGCCCCAACAGTTCTCCCTATCACAAGGCTGGCCGTTGTATCTTGCAACATCTATGGAATCTCCAACGGAAGCCTCATGTAGAATACAATACAATAAACTCTAAAAGAGGTGACAATGCCAAGCAACCCAGGAAATAGCTGATGTACCTCAGTATAGAAGCGGACATAGCCAGAGGTGAATCCTACAACAATGCAGGTCCAGTCAGGACGGCCTGTGGAGCTCCTGTCTCATATAAAGAACATGGAATAAATTTTATGAAAACTTATTCTCATATAATGCACAAGCATAGTTCAGACATAATAAGATAATTAAAATGTTAAAAAAAAGTTTGCACTTACCTCTTTTGACTTGCAAGAGGGATACACAATGCACTGGTTACACATTCACTAGAATCAAAATATAAAAATATTATATTCTTCAAGAATATTTCTCCACATAAGATGTCTATGAAGATTTTCAGTCATTCAGGTCATAGTTATCCCAAAGATGTCTTTTTTCACAAGGCAACTGGACTTTCTTGTTTTTCTTTGAAGATATTTTATTTTCATCCAAGAAGCTTCTTCAGCTTTGACTGGATGGTGGGGAATGGAAAGATTTATCTGTCTGCAGGAATATAAATCTTTCCATTCCCCATCATCCAATCAAAGCTGAAGAAGCTTCTTGGATGAGAAGGGAAACATCTTCAAAGAAAAACAAGAAAGTCCAGTTGCCTTGTGAAAAAAGCATATTTGGGACTCCACATAAGATATAAAAGATTCTCTAAAGTTTTCAAGAGGGAAAACAAATATATCCAAGCTGCTTTCCAGCTACTTTTGACCCAGTTAGTGGGAGAGTAGTCTCCATAGAATGTGGCCCAAAGTAACTAAAAAAGAATACCTTTAAAATTCAGAATTACAAACATTTATACACAGGCTGGCATTCTTACCTATTCAGTCTTGTCCCTTGCGGTTCCATTATTATGTGTTTGGTACTTTTTAAACCTACCAGCAGATTAGATTTACAATTTTCCAACATGCCAAATTTGTATAACAGAATGCGCAAAACCATGTGCACATCTTTGGGTGCATGAAAAAGAACTCCAGAGAAGATGTAGGTGCAAAGAAATAGAAGCCACACAGTACTTTGTTTTTAACAATGCTAAATTAATTGTCCTTTTTTCAACAAGTCACGCATGTATAGAGACAAAATAGAGTACTAATCATGAAAACAAACTTATCATGGATAGTATGAAATGTTTAAAAAAGAAATAGTAACATGGTATTGATGGCAAGTACCTTTACTGAAAAAAATTCTGAAGAGGCACACTAAATAGAGAAATGTCATTGTGCCCCCTCATTGAGGGCAGGAATTGAAACCTTTCTACCACCAGCCAGTCTAGGCAACGTCTGCAGTCTTAGTCAGCCAGATACTCAGACTGGACTTGGCATTTTTGACTGCCTATCGAGTCCTTCCCAAGAACCCTGGATAGGCAGAAGTGGGTGTTTGATGGTGTTACACTGTCTCTCACTGTGGACCAAGCCCTTCTCAAACTTTCAAGAACAAGGCCCAGGTAGCAAGAAGTTATCCAACTATACTATAATAATGTGGTATTGGAAAACGGCAAGGTCAAAAGTAAGAGTTCCCAAGACCTTCTCCTTTCCAAGCTTACATTTCTTCAACACTGCAAGGGCCATTCCAGCCAAGAGAGCCACTCCAGCCAACTGCAAATTGCATTTCTTCTTTCCCTTTTTCATTCTGTTTCCATTTTGCTGAGAAGAAAAAACAACAATTAGGCAACAAAGTATTGCCATATTTTAATTTCACATAAAATAGAAAACTTTTTAAAAACTTTAGAAAAAAAAAGAAAAAAATAACTTGTTAACTAAGAAATCCATCCAAGTCCATCTGTACATTTAGCCTGAACACAAAATGGCAGTGCTGATCCAACTCAAACTAAAAAGATTTCTGTTTGCGGAAAAAAGACTTTCCTGCCTCTTCTTCCTTTACAGCCTGGTGTACTGTATACTTTTCCAACTTCTGGAATAGTGTGGAGCATTAAGAAGGGGAATTTGAAAAACCAATAAAATTATCATGTAGCAAGATAATATTTTTGCACAGTGCAAGCCATCTTTGAATCCAAGACACAGTTTTAAAATACAGGTGGTCCTCAGCTTACAACCACACTTGAGCTCAAAATTGAACAAAGCAAGATGGCTGTTATGTGAATTTCACCCCATTTTATCACCTTTCTTGCAACAGTTATTAAGTGAATCACTGCAGGTGTTAAGTTAGTAACATGGTTGTTAAATGAATCTGGCTTCCCCATTGACTTTGCTCATCAGAAGATGGTAAGAGAAGATCACATGACCCCAGGACACTCATAAATATGAGTCGGTTGCCAAGCATCTGAATTTTGATCATGTGACCATGATCATAAGTGTGAAAAACGGTCATAACTCACTTTTTTCAGTGCAGTTGTAACTTTGAACAGTCACTAAACAAACGGTTCTAAGTCAAAAACTATCTGTATTACTGAGAGATATTCAGGAACACTACCTGGAATGGCTATAATAAAAGCTCATGTAGTTTTACAAATGAGTTTGATAATTTCACCATACTACTTTCCAGTTAGGCTTCAACCAACATCCTTAAAAAGAACCTTACCCGTTTAGGTTTTGCATACCTGCTTATAGAAATAGTACTATACTGACATTCACTTTCTTGAGATTATTGTCAATGACTAGAGGTAAACTCCAAATATGAATTTAAACAAAAAGCATTGCAGACAATGCTTATATGAATGACAGAAATATTTTTTATATCTTGGTTTGAGATAGATTATCATAAACAGAGGACAAGCAAGTAATTAGTTTTCACTAAAGTCTAGTCATGAATTAATTTTATATTAAGACTAGTTATAGTACAACTTGATGTGTCTAAGCATCTGGTGAAATGGAAGGTTATTTTTAGACCAAATTGCTCTATTATTAAAATATACCATAATAAAATTCAATACAAGCCTGAGTGATGTTATTTTTATGTAATACACATCCCTTTTGCAATCTCCTCTGCCACCAGAGTAGCTTTTCAAGATAAAGGAGGGCTCTATAAAGTTGCCTTTCAGTTGAGAATTCAGTGAGTCATCACAATGACTCCATCCAATTTAGTTATTGTAATATCACCATTTATAAATATGGATAGCTGAGGTGGGAGAAAACAGAACTTCAACAATCTAAGAGAAGTGAATCACTTTGTTCAATTATTTACATTGCAAATAACAAGATAATCAATTGCCAATTTGTGTAGGAGCCCTATCCACTCTAAATCATTTTTCATCCAAAGAAAACAAGAGACAGGGAGAGAAGAAAGTCATAGGAATCACCAGTGCTTTTTTTGTTAAAAAAAAAAAAGCGCTGGAACTCACACATGCCTACCCTACAAGGTTCCATCCCAAAAAGTTGTCGGAACTCCGTTCTGGGCGTTCTATGCCAAAAAAAAGCCCTGGGAACCACCATTTTCAAAGAAAATAAAAGCTATTTGAGAAACTACCTAATCCTAGTGCTAGGGAAATATAGGGTTAAAATGGAATTCAAATTTATTAACAAAACTTGAGTTACAGTATTAATTCTCATATATATATGGTTAACATATCAAGAAAGGAGGTTTATATATATTTCACAGTATACCATATATTTCACAATATATCTCCTACCACAGATATAACATCAGTTTCAGAGATAAGTCTGTAAAGCTAGACTGATTTTAATGCAATAGTTATTATGAACAATCATTCTCCATTTATTATAATAAACAGAAACATCAATAACTATCAAGGTATGTGGTTTTAATCATAACCTACTCTTGTTCAGAATATTATTTATGAAACTCAATTAAGGATATTTACTAGAATATATTTTCAAATACTGTAGCATAAAACAAAACACTTACGGACAAAAAACACTGCTTTCTGCTCACGAGCTATTACCATGAGATCATTTGTGGGTGACAACGATATTACACAGTCCTGAAGCCAGGAATTTGTTTGTGTTTTAGATGTTAAGTCTTCATCTTCTTCCTATAAATAATGATTATTGAAGTTACTACTTTCCTGAGCAAAAAAATAACTATATATAATTTAAAACAGTTAAGTACAATAATATTAATATTTAAGGAATATGCAAATTAGCAATGTGACTGCAATCTTAATGGATGGTTGAAAGCATTTAAACATTATCAAAATTATACATTTTGTTTTATTAATTGTAATATTGTTACCTATCGTCAAATGCCATCAATATATTCAACCTAAATGTATGTATTATGCATTACAAATTGATTAATGAATTTCAGAGTTTTTAATGGATTATTCAAATTATTTTGATATAGATATCAAGCTTATTTATAAAAAATATAATTAAAACAATGGTAAATAAATAGTAAATAAAGAAGCTTACAGGGTCTTGAGTTTCTGCTTCATCCCAGGAACCCCAATTCTCTTCTTCCCAGTTTGATGATTTACCTATATTTACAAAACCTAGTTTAGTTTAGCAAATCAGAGCCATTGATTACATGTGCTAAAATAAAATGCTGCATCCCAGTATATATGAAAATGTGATTATTATTTGAATAACAACAATGCTCTAAAAATGCCAGAAATTCCTAGCAGAAATGCTACAATACCTTATAATTACCTAAACCAGTGATTCTCAACCTTTCTAATGCCGTGACCCCATCATACAGTTCCCCATGTTGTGGTGACCCCCAAGTGGGTGTGGCCACCAATAAGAGGGAGTAGGACAGCTAGGGAAAAGGGAAAAAATGGCGGACAGCATGGTTTGGCGACCCCCGTGAAATAGTCATTCGACCCCAAATGGGGTCCCGACCCACAGGTTGAGAACCACTGACCTAAACCGAGAATAAAAGTATGAGAGATAATCTATGCACATTTTTATATTAATAACATAGGTTCAGTCATGCATTGTGACATGTCAAGCAGTTTCCACCTGTTGTATAAAGTGATACAAGCAATAAAAAGTTATTTACAACTTAATTGAAGATTGCCATGTCTCTCTCATAGGGTACATTTACCTTTGGTTACTAGTTGTAAAAACATTTCTAGATGCACAAAGGCTGACAGAAACGGATTCAAACAATCCATTTCTTCCATCCTCTGAAACTGAACCCTGTCTACAACCTTTCCAAAGAAGGAAAGGTTAAAGACTGGATGATAATTGTCCAGGACCATTGAATTCAATGATGACTTCTTGATGAAATGACACACCAAATCCTATTTCAAGGCCCAAGGGGCTAATCCTTCACTCAAGGAAATTGACATCATTGCAAAGACCCAACTACAGGTCACCACAGGGGCGGTTTTAACTATCCAGAGGAGACCTAGATCTAGCAAGCAGATGGTCAAGATTACAGACTAGAAAACTTTGACTGTTCTTCGGGAGGCACAGAATTAAACTTGCTCCAGCTAACTACAAGATCTTACTTGGTCAAACCTTAAAAGACTGTCATGCAACTATCAGTACATACAATTTCAACAGAAAACAAAGAATATTTCATTGCCTATGACCACACTGTAATCCCTAAGATGAGATGGATTCAGTCTTTATCTTTCTCCAATGATGCTCCAGGCATTATCTCCAGCTCATTTCCTGGAGCTCCTTAGAGAACCAAGGTGTGTCCTAGGATCAATGCAGGGCAGAGGCTCCATATGGACAAATTGATCTAAAAGTCCCATGCCCATTGTAGGCTGTAACTAAGGCCTCAGCTGAACTGCCCATAAGATCCATGAGTTTATCAGACACCTGGGGCAAGCCAACTTAACAGGCCTCACCCCCCTTCAAGACAAGGGGCACCAGTGAGTCAAAAAGCAATCAGATCAATCTGACCATGGCAATGGGATAATGGCAAATAACACCATTTAAAACCTGAACATGTCTCAACTATCCTGAAACAAAAACCAGATGTAATGTTTAACCCTCAGGATACATCAGGCCTAAAATGACACGGGACAGGTCCATGATTGCCAGCAACTCCTGAGCTGCCCTGGACTCAATGTCATTAGGTAGTAAATTGAAGTTCCTCAAAATCAGGAGCCTCAGGGTCCCAAGCACCAGCCAAGCAATGGAAATCCAGCACCTTAACCAAGGACAATGTTGTGCAGCAGAGAGAGCAGTACAACAGCAACAATCTGATCTGTTTGTTCCACAGAGACCAACTTCATCCAGAGAATTGCACTCATCTGGTTTTCTGCAGGGCAGAGCCTCTGAAAGCTTTTTTTATAAGGATGGTGATCAGAAAGGGTGTAGAGTTTGAGGGGGCTCAAGATGTATGTGGCATTTTGTTTTGTGTATGTGTGTATGGAATTCTAGGAGTTTGTTTGTGAGCATCTTTTAGATAGCAGGGATCAGAAATATATTCTCTCTCTCTTTCTCTTTCTTTCTCTTGGTTTCTTTTGAGTTAATCTTGACTCCTGACTACTTCATGGATAGGTCCATGAGGTTTTCTTGGCAACACTGCAAAAGTGGTTTGCCACTGTCTTTTTCTGGGATGTTTTTTAAAACTTTCTTGTTTAAGACAGTGAGACAGCAATTGGCCCAAAGTCACCCAGTACCTGTAGTCTTCACCCCTAAAGGAAGATTAGAACTGGGGTTTCTGCTCCTGCTCTAGCACCTTAATTAGGCTCTCTTTTATCTCCATCTGCATACTAATCATTTTATCTATTTCAAGCTAGTTTTTGAATAATCTTTTTTTAATAAATATTTTATTAATTTTCTAATTTTGCAATCATAAGTACTTAACAATGTGTTGTCTGGGTCCATTAGTAATTCAGTGGTACATATTAACTTCCTCAATCTAGATCCAATATTACACCATCCAGTGCTTCCTCTCTTTTTCCAGTGGTATACATTTTTCCACACTAGGCAAATACAATTCTTATTGCTACTCGAAAAGATATAGACTGGACACCCCATTCCAAGCAGAGGAATTTTTCAATAAGTACAGAGCCTTTTTGGAGAAAGGTGATATGGAATTTGGAACATCTACTGCAGAGACTTCTAAGCAAACAGAGGAGGAGATACCAAAAAAGATGCAATCAGAGGAAGACGTCAGACCTAAAGATCAGAGACAGATAAGCTCACCTAGAAGATTGAGATCCCGAAATAATTAAAATTACGGAGGAAATTGGAATATACTCAATAAATATAAACGGTCTCAACTCCCCATCATAGGCTACAGAAACTTAAAATGGACATAATTTGTCTACAAGAGACTCATATTAAGAGACAATACTCTAGAATTTTAGAACAGCCAAAACTTAGCAAACTTTATTTCTCTTTGGCATTACAAAAGAAAAGAGGGATAGTGATATATATAAAAGAAAAGTTGAATCCAAAGGAAATTTATTCTGATGAGGAAGGAAGAATAGTAATGGTGGAGATTTCATGGAATCAGAAACAAATATTGTTGGTGGCAATATATGCCCCCAATGAGAAACAAGAGCAATTTTATCAACAACTATACGACAAACTTGTGGACTTAAACTACCATAGTCTTTGTATACTGGGACACTTTAATGCAATTGTGGATGCAGTTCGAGACTACGAAAGCCATAAACAAGGGAAGAAAGGAAGTAATATTTTACCTAAAACTTGTTTAAAAATGAAAGATGAACTATGTTTGCAGGATATATATCGAGAGATGAATCCAGGAAAGACATAATATACTTTTTACTCTAACAGGCATAAATCTTGGTCAAGAATTGATATGATATGGATCTCCCATGACTTGAAGACTATGATACAGGAAGTTGAAATAGAATCAAATATTTGGGCAGACCATAACCCAATTAAAATGACATGGAAAAGATGGTCCCTGAATAAATCTATTTTGAAGGAAAAAGAATTTTTACAATTAGCAACAAAAGAAATGGAAGATGCTTCTATTCAAAATGTTTGGGACACGGCAAAAGCATACTTTAGAGCAGTGGTTCTCAACCTTTTTATACCCGCGACCCCGGTCGTAAGTCGAGGACTACCGGCGCGGGATCACCGCATATGCGTGGTGCCGCCTCCTGCGCTGGCTGAGGCATAGCCGGCAAGGGGCCGCAGCAGACAGGCCCGGGCGCTCCCGGGCGGCCACAGCAGGCAGGACGACCACCTGGTGGCCCAGCCCAAGGCAGGTAAGGTACCCGCCGGGCCCCATGCACACCAGCAACCCTCCCTGCGCCCGCCGCTGCCCCGCTAGGCTTACCTTGGCTGCCACCCGTTTGGGGCAGCGGCAGACAGGCCCAGGTGCTCCCGGGCAGCCGTGGCAGCGGCGGCGCAGGGCGACCACCAGCTGGGCCACCAGCTGGCCCAGCCCAAGGCAGGTAAGGCACCTGCCAGGCCCCATGCATGCCAGCAACCCTCCCTGCGCCCGCCGCTGCCCCACTAGGCTTACTTTGGCTGCCGCCCGTTTGGGGCGGCGGTAGGCAGGCTCAGGCACTCCCGGGCGGCCGCAGCAGCGGCCGCACAGGGCAACCACTGGCTGGGCCACCAACTGGCCCAGCCCAAGGCAGGTAAGGCACCTGCCGGGCCCCACACGCGCCAGCAACCCTCCCTGCGCCCACCGGCCTCCCACCTCCCACCCCCAGCCCTCTTTTACTTACTTTTTAGTTGCTCAGCAGGGAGGGAAGCTCTGCAGACTGTTTCCCTTGCAGCACCGTTTGCTGACTGGGGCTTTTGGCGGGCTCAGCAGGGCAGAGATAGCCCTGGACAATTCCTATTGGCTTTTGAAAGCCAATAGAATTAGACTCTGTTCGAGAGAGTCTATTCTATTGGCTTTAGAAAGCCAATAGAATAAGAGGGAGTAGCAGAGCTAAGGAAAAGGGGAAAAATGGTGGAAAAATGGCGGATCGCGTTGTTTGGCGACCCCGTGAAATGGTCGTTCGACCCCCAAATGGGGTCGCGACCCACAGGTTGAGAACCCCTGCTTTAGAGGTTTAGCTATAACTTATGCTGCCAAAAAGAACAAAGAAAAGAGAATCACACAGTCCAAATTGAAAAAACAGCTTGGTATATTGGAGCTGGAGTTACAAACTGATCCACAAAAGAAAAAATTGAAGATACAAATGGACTTAATAAAACATAAATTAAATCTACTTGAGACTGATGCTATGGCACAACAGATTAAACGAGCAAAACGGAACTTTTTTGAAAATGCTAATAAAACGGGTAGATGGCTTGCATATAGATTGAAAAAAGAAAGAGAAAAAAGATCAATAAGTAAATTACTGGATGAAAAGGTGAAATACAGTGCCCTAAACTTTTGCAGAAAATTGAGAAATTTGGAGAAGTAGCTGGACTAAAAATATAGGGAAAAAACTAAAGTGTTAACAAAAAATTTAACTGATAAACAGAAAACTCAACTCACCAAAAAGCCAAATCTTCAAACAGTTAAAAAAGTTAAATATTTAGGTATCTATCTTACAGCGAAATATACATTACTAAAAGAAGATAATTATGA